GCTTTGAGAGCTTTGGTTTTTACTTGAGCTCTTCTCCCTTTGTTTGGCTTGTGCGAATGATGCTAGAGTGGTAGAAGGAAGATTATTCCTTCTCAATCACTCCCCATATAATTGTGAAGAAAATGACATGAAGGTATGAGTTTTTTTGTCTCAATGAGACTCCCCCCATCCTTGTCCCCAAGTGGGTGTAGGGAATCTCTCCCAATTATTATTGTTATTTCTGGCAGGTTTGGTCAAAATAGCACTTGAATTGTCCAAACATTTCCCTCAATCGAGCCCATAAATAATTGAGAATGTGGTACCAAATATTTAGTTGGGTCATAATAATAATTATAGAAGTCCAATGTAATGCCAACTAAGGTTGAGGGAAATGTTTGGACAATTCAAGTGCAATTTTGATCAAACCTGTCACAAATAACAATAATAATTGGGAGAGGTTCCCTACACCCACTTGGGAATTTTTCTACATGATTTGAGACTCCAATTAATCAATTGGGACAAGAAGGGATTGGAGGGGGGAGTCTCATTGAGACAAAAAGTCATACCTTCATGTCATGTTCTTCACAATTATATGGGGAGTAATTGAAAAGGAATCTTCCTTCTACCACTCTACCATCATCCGCACAAGCCAAACCAAGGGAGAAGAGCTCAAGCAAAAACCAAAGCTCTCAAAGCCATTGTTGGAGGAAGCTTGGAGGAAGAAATTAAAGCCCAAGAGAAAAGTAGCTTGAAGAAAGGTACGAACTTGACTAGTTCTCCCTAGCTAGTATTATTTGATACACAGTATGATTTTTGTGAAATCATATGTTGGATTATATATGAAGTTCTACACATTTAAAAGTGAAGAATATTGTGTTCAAGTGTTGGTATTTAACTTAGAAGAGTCGTGGAATCGATAGGAGTCGAAACCGCCGGAAACCGCCACTCAAAAGGAGCTGCCCGAACTACAGTCCACGAACGCCGCCCGGCATTCACAAAAGCCGCCCGACTTTTGTCCGCTGTCCACATTTTTCCACTTCGATCGGCCTAGAACGGGGATTTCATGAGGGGCTTAACAAAGACAATTATTGTAGCATATCTTAAGGTGAGAATGACTGACTATATTGCTTATAATTAGTGAGAATATTTCATAAGATTACCTAAGTTAATTAAATGTGATTTTCATGGATTATTAATAACTAATAATGCCTAAATAAGCATACTATTGCTTATGAGTATGATTATGTGATATGAATGTCATGAAGATATGATAGTTGGATTAACTATGAAATGTTGTGATAAAATTTACTTTTACTTCAGGAGAAGAATTCATGAATGGATAAAAGTGATATTTTTGATGTTGGGATTAAATTATATTTGGACTGGAAAAATCAGTTGAAATGAACTATTGGCTATGAACTAACAACTTGGTTGTTCTATAATTATTCGAATAAATGATAGAATAAATCCTAAGGGATTGGATTGTGTGTAATTATGCCTTAAGTAGTCTTAAGAGATACTTTAAGGTGAAAATTATATGAGCTCTAAGTTATATTAGGAGTAGGCTTAAAAGGCTATTCAAAATGAATTGAGTCTAGGCATAGAATTTGCTTAGAGATTGAATAACGTGACTAGAGCGAGGTTCTAGCACGTCGTATTGGTGATTAAGAGCGAGTCTCTAATACGTCGTAGTGGTAATTAAGAGCGAGACTGTAGCTAGCCCAATGTAGAATGACTAAGAGCAAGGCTCTAGCACAATGTAGAGTGACTAAGAGCGAGGCTTCAATACAGTGTAGTAATGTAATAGAGCGATGCTCTATAATAGTGTAATTATGCACTAGGGTAAAGCCCTATGATGGCATAGTAATTTACTTAAAGTATATGATCGTCGTGACTAGTAGTCATGGGGCAAAGGGATGGACGTTTCAAAGTAAACAAGGGCCTATGGGCCGACTACTTGACTTTATATAAAGTAAATATATTTTCAAATAGGGTAACCAGGGGTTATGGCCTATAATATAATATCACTCTAGATTGAGGGTCTTAGAAAGTGAAACATTGATTATATACAGTGTAGTTGTCATTGTACTTTTCAAATGCTTCAAAGTATTGACATCCCCTTCACGGGGGAGGCCACCTCACAGTTTCAGGTAGTGGTTAAAGCTTGCTACCATCGCCCATTGTTCAAGGAGAAAAGACGTGGTTCGTTCTTCCTCCATTTTGTTTTTAAAACAATTAGATTAATGCTCATGGATATTATTTTCTTGAATAATTAATTGGGGGCTTGTATGCCTAAGTTCCCAAGTGTGGCTTAAACACTTGTATTAATGTTTCCACTACTTCAATGAATTTTTACATTATGTTTGTTTACAGATGTACTATGTGTGAATGATATTCAAGACGCCTTGTATAGTATGGATGTGTTTGACTGCGGTTGACTATTCATACTATACAGAGGGTTGTTGATGTGTCAGGGTAGGTCCGAGGCGTGACGTAATTTGATAATTTTCATATGAGATTTTTTTAATGATCCTAGAATTATTTTTCAAAAATCTTGTCCTGAGACCCCGCAGCAAAATGGTGTGTCTGGGCGTAAGTACATGCATTTTCGTGAATTAGCCCTATGCACATTACTACCCGCTTGCCGGCTACTTTTTGGGTTGATGTCGTTCTTACTGCCACTTTTATTATTAATTATTAATAGGTTACCGTCTCCTACTCTACAGGTTTATCTCCGTATAAAAAATTATTTCATGCCAAACCAAATTTTTCTATCCTGTGTGTTTTAGGGTGTGCGTGTTTTTCTAATTTTAACGCTTCTTTTGCAAATAAGCTTTTGTTGCGTTCAATTCAGTGTGTATTTTTAGGCTATGCGTCTGAATATAAGGGCTACCATTGTTTTGATCCTATTTCTGGTTGAGTGTATATTAGTAGGAATGTCGATCAGATTTTTAGAAAATATTTTTCCTTATCATCATTTAATCAGTACCACGGTGTCCATATCTGGCGTGCCTACTATATCTGCCCCGCTTATTTCTACACCCACTCGTGATCTGCTGTCCACGCATGCTGCCACGCCGTCCCCCCCACCCCCCGCCATCCATCCTGCAACTTTCCCCGGTAGCCGACCAGCCCTCTTGCACGCAGACTGAAACCAGTCCTCCTACCTACGACCTGCTCTCTTCTGCTGCCACACCCACTAGCTGTGTTGCCAGTAATTTTTTGTCTTCTGCATCAACTGTCCGACAACCACATCCATGTCCCACACCCCTGCTGACAGTGGGTCGGCCACAATTCCAGTCATGCCGCCTCCAGGATGCTCTGCCCCGATTGCTAATGAACATATGATGTAAACTTAGTCCAAATCCGGGATTTTTAAGCCCAAAACTATTTTTAATTTAAATAAAGTTGTTAGCAGACCTGATCCCAGTGGTTTTTCTATTGCAAATAAACATTTTAAGTGGAGAGTCGCAATGGCTAAGGAATTTAATGCCCTTATCTCTAATCATACTTGGCACTTAGTATTGTTTGATGCTAGAAAGAATGTGGTTGGATCTAAATGGATTTATAAGACTAAATATTTGTTTGATGGGTCTATGGAACGCTATACAATGCGTTTAATTGCTCAGGGGTTTAATCAGCAGACAATTATTGATTTCACTAAAACCTTTAGTCCTGTTGTCAGACCCATCACCGTTCGTCGTGTTTTCACCTTAGCTATCTTGTTTGGTTGTCCAATCGCAACTTGATGTTAAAAATGTCTTTCTTCACGTCAACCTTACTGAGTAAGTTTATATGTGTCAGCCTCCTGGATTTGTTCATCATCAGTTTTCTCAGCATTTGTGTCGGCTTCGTAAGGCCATTTATGGTCTCAAACAAGCCTCTCATGCTTGGTTTCATAGATTCAGTACCTTTCTTCTCTCTCATGGTTTTGTTTGCATTCGGTCCGAGAAATCTTTATTTATTTTCTGCCGTAACTTCATGTTATTTATCTGTTGCTATATGTTGATGATATAATTGTTATAGGTAATTCTTCTCCCTTGGTTAATCATTTTCTATCTCTTTTGGCTAAGTGTTTTGTCATGAAGGATCTGAGAGAGTTACACTTCTTTCTTGGTAATCATGCATCTCGTACTTAATCTGGTCTATTTCTTTTCCTTTTAAACCAATAGGCAAACCACTAAAATCAGTGAGGTAAACTCCGGGGGAACATTCACCAAATTTTATTGAGAAAAAAAAAAGAAATTCGATACAAACTGAGAGGGGGACTATACCAAAACCTCTCATACCTACAAATTGAACACCAAATAATAAAAATAAATAAATTACTGAGTTTCAAGGGGGCTATACCTGACCTGAAACGAATACAGACTGATAAAAAATAAAAAACGAATAGAAGGGATGTCAAAGTAATCAATATAATAAGACCTTCTAGCTAGTCTCGGAAGAAACTTTGGGCTTTTAAAAATTTCTATAATTACTTGAATGAGTTCCTGTCAGATAATGGGCTGTCAAATTCCCTTCCCTCAAAGTAGTGGTGGACTCGGGCCGGTTCAGGCCCGGGCCGGGCCGCCGGTTAGGAAATGTTGGGCCCGGGTAGCCACCGGGTCCGGTCCGGGTTCGGGCCGGGCCGGGCCTCGGGCCTCTTACATTTTTTTTCCCTTTTTCTAATTACCCCCGACCCCCCCCCCCCCCAAACCCCCAACCCCCCAAACCACCCCAAATGGCCCAAAATCCCCAGCCCAACCCGGGGATTTAAAAAAAAGTTGGAAAAAAAAAAACGGAACCGGGCCCGAGCCCGGGCCGGCCGGGCCGATTCATGTTTTGGGTGACCTGAGCCTGGACCGGAAACCCTCGGATCAGGCCTACCCGGACTGGTCATGGGCCGGGCCACCGGTTCGGTCCGGGCCAGAACAGTGCTGGTCCCGGGCCGGTTCCAGGTCGGGCCACCCGGCCCGAGTCCACCACTGCCTCAAAGTATGTCTGAACAAAATGCCTTTCCTATTTGCCAACAGCCTGGTTTCCTGGATCAAATCTCCCCATCTCCTCACCTGAATATCTTCAAGAAATGTGAGTGCCATCGTTGAATCAGATTCCACTTTAAATCCCTACTGAAGCTATACTGATATCCCTCAGTTTCGCCTCCAATGGTGACGAGGCCGCAAGAGGAAAGCTTATCGCTACTATCAGCGCACCCGAAGAATCCCTGAGAATCGCACCACCAATTGAGATGTCAGAAGAGTAAGTAGTTACCGTATTTAATTTCAAACAGCCTCTAGGTTTTTTACATTTGATTATCTGAATGCGTGTATTAGCTACCTTAAATCCTTCTGGAATCAGTCATACAGAATTCTACTGATAGTCCGGACCTTCAATTTTGAGAAGCTAAGTACCCAGTTGTTCGTATAGCATTTAATCTGAGAAATCAGTTTTCCGTAGTAGGAACAACACCTCCTTCACCCCAAACTTGATTGAAATAGACTTTCCAGACATGCCAACAAATAAGTCCCGAAAGCTTATGTTTAAATAAATCTGCCAAATCTCTCGACCCTGCTTTAAACCACCATTTTCTAAACATCTGTGATAAAGTCTAAACTTATATTTGAAAATTGATGCCCATGATTTGCATAGAGTACTGCCAAACTGGCCAGACCTTAGTACACCTGTATGGCTGTAAAAGATGTGTTCGATTGTTTCTTCATGGTTCTTGCACAATGGACATCTGGTAGGATATAGCACCATATTAAACGTGGCTAAATTTTTCGGGAAGATATGTAAAGGATATGAACGAGAAAATTTTCTTGTTCTTTTTTTAGCACAAGGTATCGAACTAATAATTGAGTGGGAAAATTTTTCTGTCTCATATGTAGTTATTTTTAGTTATATGATAAACGGATTAATAATTGAGCGAAAGAATTTTTTCTATCATATGTAATTTTTTTTGTATAAGATAAGCGGACTAATAATTGAGCAGAAAAATTTTCTATCTCATATGTAGTGCTTTTAGTTATAAGAAGATAAGCAGATTAATAATTGAGTGGAACAATTTTCTTCTCATATATAGTGCTTTTAGTTATAGGAAGATAAACGGAATAATAATATTGGTGTATGCAATATTTGTGTATGAATGATAATAAAAAATTGTGAATTGTGATATATATAAAAAGGCAATATGAAAGATAATTTATTTTCATTATCTTTCATATATTTGAAATATATGAAAGATATATAAAAAGAAATAGAGGAGTAATTTATTTTGATTTATATATGATATATTGGTATCATATGAAAGATAGTACAAAATGTATCATTTTGATATTTTTTAATAATCGAAGTACATTTCAAATGGGGGGGTTAAATGTTTTGCTAAAAAAGTAACATCATTTACCTGCAAAATTTTCTCTCTCATATGTGTAGTGTTTCTTTGTACCCCGTATAAGATAAGCAGACTAATAAACAAGAAGGAGAATTTTCTCTGTCATACGTAATGCATATAGGTATAAGAAAATAAACCGAGTAATAATTGAGTGTGATAATTTTCTCTCTAACATGTAGTACTATTAAAGTAAGTAGATAAAGAACTAATAACTGAGTAGGAGCATTTTTAGGTGTAAGATAAACGGACTAATAATTGAACCGGTGAATTCTATCTCTCATATATATATAATATGCTTTTATGTATAATATAAGTGGACTAATAATTGAACGAGAGAATTTTCTCTCTTATATGTAGTCCATTTTAGCATAAGGTAAGCGGACTAATAATTGAGCGAGAGAATTCTCTGTCTTATATGTAGTACTATTTAGGTATACAATAAGCGGACTAATAATTGAGAGAGAGAATTTTCTTTCTCACATGTAGTTCTTTTGTGTATAAGATAAACGAACTAATAATTGAGCGAAAGAATTTTCTCATATGTAGTGCTTTAAGTATAAGATAAGCAGACTACTAATTGAGCGGAATAATTTTCTCTCTCATATGTAGTGATTTTAGGTATAAGAAGATAAATGTAGTAATAACTAAGCCGGATTTTTTTCTCTCATGTGTAGTACTTTTAGGTATAAAATAAAATAAGTGGGAGAACTTCTTTCATATTAGTGCTTTTAGGTATAGGATAAGCAAACTAATAATTGATCAGGAGAATTTCCTTTCTGATATTTTCTATGTCATGTCCTTTTGAACCTATGGTAAGATATTTTCCTACCATTGTCACATAACTATCTAAACGTAATATCTATCTCTATTACTGCAGAAAAATGAAATTTTCCTATCTAGACGTAGAGCCCGTTTGGTAGCACCAAAATCGGCTGTTTTGGCTGATTCTGCTGAAATTTATGATATTCTGGCTGGAGTGGCTGTTTTGGCTGATTCTGCTGATTTAAGAAAAAAATATTTTAAAAATATATTTTATTAATAAATTAAAGAAAAAATTATATGTAAAAATAGCTAAAATGGTCCTCTACAGTAAATTCAGCCAATACAGCCAGAAAAGTAACTCCAACCTTACTTTTTCGGCTTATTACACAATTCAGCGCGCGAAAGTAAAAGTTACGTGTTTGGTGAAAAAGCTGGCTGATAAGCCTGATAAGCCGAAAACCGAGTTCTCCAAACGGGCTCGTAATAGTCATGTAAAGCTTTATATATGTGGTGTTATCAAGCGTGAAAACATGAATTGATTATTTTAATACATGAGTAGGAAAGAAAATCATTAGATGTTATCACTTAAAGTTCTCTTTAAAGTATTTTTTCAAAACTCTAACAATTAAGTTCAATATATTTCATTATCCGTTACGAGAAAATTTTAACTCTTATATGTAGTTCTTTTTTTAGCATAAGGTAATCGAACTAATAATTGAACGGGAACATTTTCTGTCTCATATGTAGTGCTTTTAGTTATAAGAAGATAAGTAGATTAATAATTGAGTGGAAAAATTTTCTTCTCATATGTAGTGCTTTTAGTTATAGGAAGATAAACGTACTAATAATATTGGTGTATGCAATATTGGTGTATGAATGATAATAAAAAATTGTGAATTGTGATATATATAAAAAGGCAATATGAAAGATAATTTATTTTCATTATCTTTCATATATTTGAAATATATGAAAGATATATAAAAAGCAATAGAGGAGTAATTTATTTTGATTTATATATGATATACTGGTATCATATGAAAGATAATACAAAATGTATCATTTTGATATTTTTTTAATAATCGAAGTACATTTCAAATGGGGGGATAAATGTTTTGCTAAAAAAATTACATCATTTAAGAAATGTGAAAATTCATTAGTATGTGACATTTCAAATGGGTAGGTTTCAATTCAATATGGTTAGTAACAAGACACAATTTAGCTGCAAAATTTTCTCTCTCATATGTAGTGTTTCTTTGTACCCCGTATAAGATAAGCAGACTAATAAACAAGAAGGAGAATTTTCTTTGTCATACACTCATACGTAATGCATATAGGTATAAGAAAATAAACCGAGTAATAATCGAGTGATAACTTTCTCTCTAACATGTAGTACTTTTAGAGGAAGTAGATAAACAAACTAATTATTGAGAAGGAGCATTTTTAGGTGTCAGATAAACGGACTAATAATTGAACCGACGAATTCCATATCTCATATATATAATATGCTTTTATGTATAATATAAGCGGACTAATAATTGAACGAGACCATTTTCGCTCTTATATGTAGATTTTAGCATAAGTCAAGCGGACTAATAATTGAGCGGGAGAATTTTCTGTCTCATATGTAATACTTTTTAGGTATACAATAAGCGGACTAATAATTGAGCGGAAGAATTTTCTTTCTCACTTGTAGTTGTTTTATGTACATAGTATAAGATAAGCGAACTAATAATTGAGCGGAAGAATTCCACTCTCATATGTAGTGCTTTAAGTATAAGATAAGCGGGCTACTAATTGAGCGGAATAATTTTCTCTCTCATATGTAGTGATTTTAGGTATAAGAAGATAAATGTAGTAATAACTAAGCGAGATTTTTTTCTCTCATGTGTAGTACTTTTAGATATAATAAAATAAAATAAGCGGGAGAACTTCTTTCATATTAGTGCTTTTAGGTATAAGATAAGCAAACTAATAATTCATCAGGAGAATTTTCTTTCTGATATTTTGTATGTCATATCCTTTTGAACTTATGGTAAGATATTTTCCTATCATTGTCACATGTATCAAGGGTGAAAACATGAATTGATTATTTTAATACATGATTAGGAAAGAAAATCATTAGATGTTATCACTTAAAGTTCTCTCTAAAGTAGTTTTTCAAAACTCTAACAATTAAGTTCAATATATTTCATTATCCGATCCGTTACAAACAATACCAATATTATTAGGTAGCAAATTTTAATGGATTCTGTCGATTTTTTTTTACTTTAATTTTGTTTTACTTTTTTTTTACCCCGGAAGGTAAATCACCAAAATCAGTGGGGTAAATGTTGGGGGACTTTAATTTTGTTTTACTTTAAATATTTGTTCTACGAGTTTATACTTTTTGATATTCACTTATTTTAATCCATTTTTAAAATGATGTAAAATTGAAAAAAACTATTTTCATATTTTATCAAATCGTGAACAAAGATATTTATGGACCAACTGTTTTTCCCGTGCATATGCATTCAACTGACCAATTCGGATCACCAGCCGACCCAAATTCAATTAGGATTTGAATTTTGATCACTCTAATAAAATAATTAATATGTGGCTTTAATTGAGTACGTTAACTAGTCTAACATGTAAGGTGTCTTTTTACGCAGCCGCACAATGCTTGATGTACCCACTCTTATACCCATCTTATACCCACCATGTTTGTGAAGTGTTTTTTCTTGTCTGTGAACCCGGCTTACAGACAATATTTTGTTTGTGCGAAATATTGTCTGTGAACCGGGGTTCACGGACAAAAAAAACACTTCACAAACATAGGTGGGTACAAAGGTGGGTATAAGAGTGGGTACAAACATCATTTTTGTTATTTTATTTGAAATAAAACTTTTTGTTATGTGAAAAAAGCCAATTAAATCTGCCTATATCAAAATTAGTCAATTGAATTTTGATGAGAAAGCCGTTTAACAGTTTTCTTTAACCACAATTAGACACGACACTAAATACTTTTATTCTGATCCTAATTTTGTAAATGATTTTTATGCAGTATTATTTCGGGAAAAACTCCATAAAATTATAAAACTTTTAAAGTTCACCATAAAAGCTCTTTATCAAACAAGGGTTTCATTAATGATCTTTTAATTAAAATGAATAAATTGATAGTTGATAACGAATAGGTATTATTCAGTCATTTTTTTACAAAGAGGTAACTTTTGATTTCATGTGTGCAAATTATGTAATCAACATAAAGTTGAAATTAATTTGTGGTTGATCTCATTTTAGCTAGTTTTTCATTTTATTTTTCTTTGTTAACTAATGAAATACGAGAAAACTATCAAATAAGCCCCGTACTATGCCGAAAAAGTCGATTAGGCCATCGTACTTTACAAACACTCAATTAAGCCCTCGAACTATTAAAAAACGGTTAATTAAGCCCTTTCGGTATAGTACGAAAACTTATTTGATAGTTTTCCCAATGAAATACTACACCTACTTTAGTTATAAATTGTCTATAATTCAGCATAATCAGTCAATGGAACCGCTGGTCTGCTGCATCCACAATTTTATCAATTTTTTTAGAAAATGTTATTCAATGTGCATGGATTCAATAACCAGATTAAAGAATAAAAAATTAAAAATTAAAATACGTATCCTGTGTGGAAATGTAGAATTGAGGACAACATTTTTTCATTTGTGACTTGTGAGTGGCAAGAATGATACTTACATTTTGATATCATGAACCCAATGATATGGATGGATCCGGGCCAGGCCGGTTCCGGTTTGGGCCTGGACCCAGCCGGGCTTTTATTTGGGAATGGTGGAACCGGCCCGGGTAGCCGGCGGTTCAAGCCCGGGTAGCCAACGGTTCCAGGTCGGGCCGAGCCGGTTCGGGCCGGTTCCGGTTCAATGTTATTTTTTTATTTTCTTTTGATTTTCTAAATACCTCCCCCCCTTCACCCCCCAAAACACTCAGCCCAACCCGGTAGAAACAAAAAAAATTGAAAAAAAAAAAAAACTTAGGCCCGAACCGGCCGGGCCGGTTCGCATTTTAGGGGGCCCGAGCCCGCACCGGGACCGAACCGGCCGGGCCGGTTCGCATTTTAGGGGGCCCGAGCCCGCACCGGGATTAGAGCGGTTCCGGTTGGCCCAAACTGGCCCCAAGACCGGGTACCGGGCCGGTCCGGTTCCGGGCCGGGCGGCCCGACCCGAGTCCGCCCCTAGACAAAAGAGTATGGATTATGGAAGTAATTAAACGTATCGACATAAAAAGGATGTTTACTTTTAAACTGTTTGCGGTCATAGACAAAACCAAACCAAACCAAATCAGATCAGATCGTATCAGATTTAAATAAATTAGACCATAATAGACTAGACTTAAACAGACCAGACTAGACTTTGACAGCTATAAATACACAAATACCCGATATTTGCCAGACCAGATTAGACTTAAACAGACCAGACCAATAAATTTTAAAAGAAATAGTGCCATATCGCCATAGTGCCATTGTGTCAGGAACTTGGCTTGCCCGATACCAGCACTATGGGTGTAAATACACATCCCCGAGTTGTTCGTAGATCGCTCAGAAAACACTACTCGAGTTAATCATATCTAGAATTTTAAACTTGACTTGAGTTTGGTTGGATTCGAAAATTTAAGGAGCTCAATTAAAGTCTCTTTATTTTAGGTTCGGGACCCATAAGCCGATTCGCGAGCCCTGATGTGAAGGTATATACACATATTATATACTTCGGGTATAATATTTATATTCAATTTTATATATAATAAACTTGAAACATTTAATTTGTGGTTATTCTATTTTCAATACTTATTATTATGTATATTATACAGAGTAATAGGTAATAATTAGACATGTGGTATATAATTATTTATATAGTGCCCGTTTGATAGCCATGATTTTTGGCTTTTCAGGTTTATAAGCCAACTTTTTCACCAAACACGTAACTTTTGGTTTTACGGGCTCAATTGTGTAATAATAAGAAAAGTAATGTTGGAGTTACTTTTCGGGTTGTATTGGCTGAAGTTACTGTAGATGGCCATTTTAGCTATTTTTCATACGGAGTATATTTTTTACTTTATTTTATTAATAAAATGTATTTTAATTTATTATTTTTCATGAATCACCAGAATCAGCCAATACAGCCGATTCGGCTATTACCAAACGGACTCATAACTATACAACAACAATATTTATTAAGGAGTATTATTATTATAGCCATACAACAACATAAGATATGATAAAAGAATAAGATAAAAATGAATGTAAGATAAAATAACATATATATAAGAAAGATAAAATGTAATATTAATAATTTGGAAGATAGAAATTTTATTTTTAGCTCATAAACTGGCTCGAGATCAAATCAAGCTCGAGCTATTATATATATGGAGCATCTTATTTGCATTGAGCTCAGTCCCGTTCGAGATCGAATCAAGCTTGAGCGAAGCTCAACTGAGTTCAAGATCGAATTATTTACCTCTTTCAAACTCGAGTTCGTGAATTCTTATCAAGTTCGAGCTCCAATACACTCATGTTCGGGCTCAGTTTGGCATTTTCCACCGCTACCCGGTATGCTTTCCGTCCATATTTTGATTTCATATATTCTCATACCATATTTAATTCCTATTATTAGACATAGTAAAAGAAATCATAATATATACTATGAGGTTATAATGCTAAACTATCTTGTATAAATGTAAAGTATGAATACAAGAAATTTCATCATATGGAAAAAGAATAATGCTTAATGTACATGAGTTGTACACAAAGTGTATGTACACAAAATCTCCCTAATTGTCTGTGTACATAGACAATTCGTTTAAACAATGGACAAGATTTTATACCAAACCCACCCTAATTGTCTGTGTACACAGGCAATGTACAAATTTTGTGTACACTTTGTGTACACCAAGAATGACCCATAAAAAAAAACCCGTTATAAAACAACCAATTTTGCAGAGTAAAAGGTCAGTTTGGTACTCCAAGTTACATAAAAAGAGTCAAATAAGTCCTTATATAGGAGGCTCTGACTGGCCGTCGTCATATGGGGCGGTTCCTGGTAGTATTTTTTGACGAAATGTTTTGAGCATCTTATACATTAAGTCTAGTTTACTCATACCAAATTTCAGCTAAAACTTCAATCGGGAAGGCATTCAAATGAATTCTTAAAGATAATTGCACAATTAAAAGCGCAGTTATCTTCAAGAATTCATTTGATTGCCTTCCCGATTGAAGTTATAGCTGAAATTTGGTATGAGTAAACTAGAGTTAATGAATAAGATGCTAAAAAAAATCATCAAAAAATCCCACCGAAAACCGCCCCAAATGGTGACAGCCGGACAGTAAGGACTTATTGGGCCTTTTTTATGCAACTTCGAGTACCAAACTGACCTTTTACTCCAATTTTGCATCTAACTCAATTTTGCAAATTGCAAAGGACAGCTCTATTGCTCTAAATGCCCTCCTCTGTCCACCTCTTAGTGCACTGTAAATATAAATTGTGTTTGTTTTCTCTCTCAAATTTATGCAACTTTCTACGGAGTATCATTTATATGCATTATAAGTGGAAGTTTCAAAACTCAAAAAAATCCAATCTGAAAGTATAACCTAAACTTTTGTGATGACAAATAATCTAGAGCTAATTCACACAACTTGGTTCATTTTTTCTCCAACTTGCATGCTGCACTGCTAATGATGATTAGCAGTATTTGTTAAAGTATAACTGTATAATTAAGGTACAATTATATAAAACCAAAGAATGATGATTATCTATAGATGAAGGCATTTAACATGAAAGCAATATTTGTTAAAAGTTAGGATGAGCAATATTGGTAAGCTATACTTAAAAAAAAACAATTACAACAATTAATACTTGAAGTTGGTGTTACTTAACAATCTCCTAATCTACAACCTTTCCTCTGTATTTTTTCATTAACGATTATTATATATCTAAAAAAGTTTCCTACTTAACCGCAGATTTGCAGACAAAATCAGAACTGCCTCTACTGCTTTCAACAAATTAAGAAAGAGATCCCATTAAGAAAGACAAAATCAATTCAAGAAGAAGAAAAATGGCTGGAACTGATAAAGTGAATCAACAGAATCAAGATCTAGTACCAACTGGAAAATTAGGTAAAATAATGCCAGTACTAGAAGCAATGAGGCGTCCACGTGGCAGGCCGGCTGGGTCAAAGAACAAGCCGAAACCGCCAGTTATCATCACGCGCGACAGCGCGAACGCGCTTAAAGCACACGCGATGGAGGTCAGCTCGGGCTGCGACGTCAACGAGAGCCTCCTGAGCTTTGCCCAGAGAAAGCAACGGGGAATATCCGTCCTGAGCGCCACGGGGTCCGTCACAAACGTGACATTGCGTCAACCGGCATCCTCCGGGTCAATCGTGACCCTCCACGGGAGGTTCAAAATCGTATCTTTGGTCGGCTTGATTCTCCCGCCTCCGGCTCCGCCGGGGGTGACAAGGCTGACCATATACCTTGCCGGAGTGCAGGGGCAGGTGGTGGGTGGGAGCGTGGTTGGTGCACTTATCGCCTCCGGTCCGGTCGTGATCATGGCCGCAACTTTCTTGAATGCCACTTATGATAGGCTGCCATTGCTTGATGATGACCAACAAGTCATTTCCACGGCCAACCAGGCAACCACCACCACCAAAACGGCGGCGGGCATCAGAATGTGGAGGTTTCCGACATATATGGGTTGCCACAGAGTCTGATTAGTGGTGGCGGTGCTTTACACCAGGTTTACACTTGGGCACCGCCTAAGAACTTGTCAAAACCATAGATGCTGCTAAGAACTTGTCAAAACCATAGCTGCTGCTAAGAGAATTGATACTCTCCTAGACTTTCATTAATGTTCTTAATTTATTTAGATTTATTTTACTTCTCATAGCTAAATAAGAAAAAATGTATCTATATGGTAATCATTCAATGTATCCTGTTATTATACCTACTTATCCTATGTTTAACAGATTAATTATGATGTTCAATTAGAAATGGATGTGGGATCCAAATCATCCAATGTACTTTTCTTCAATATCAAGCTGAAACAAAAGCTTTTGTACACGGCCGGTCCTATCGATTTTTGGGCTGGGCGAGATATTATTTGGGCCTATGTTCAAGACAAAAACTGATCTCTAAAAATCGATCAACGAAACAGGACCCACCAAAAGTTATTCTTTTCACTTAAATCACAATTATCTGGCTCAATTTCACTATTGCGGCTTCTGCACCTATATCACTATTTCCAAGCATGTTATGGTTTTCACTCACAAAACAATTTAGCGGCAATTCAACTTGAGAAGAATTTCCAGGATTCAATTTCTTAACAAAAACAAAATTTTCCATTGCCCCTGTCTTACTTAAGGCTGCATTTTCTAATCTTTGTCTCTTTTTCTCTTTTTCCTAACCAGATTCACCCATTTTATCAAACACCTTCACAATAGTAAAACGAAATAAAGGAATTCAATTCAAAATTGCACAATACCAAACAAATATGAATTTACCAAGACACCAAAAATGCATCATATAGAAATCATTAATCATAATTCATAAATCAAAAGAACATTTAGTGGATTTATTATTCATAGGTAATATAGATTGGGAATAATTTACTGGCCTTTGTCAGATTGTTTGAAGCCTTGACAGAAGAAGGTGTTCTAATCGCCGGCCGCTGTTTGGGCTCCTCACCGCTGACCGCTTTGGCTAATGGTGATTTGCAGGCTTGCGGTGCTCTCTAATGTCTACTCTTGTGCAAGACGACCAAGACCTTATTAAACATTAGTCCTTTAGTTCATTAGATAATTGAGTTTAATTGGAACTTGAAAGCCACCGTCCAGGAAATTAATTAGGTTAGTGGGATGGGGTGGTTTATGAATCGGGAGTTTGGGAGACACACGGGTTGTACAAAGAGTTAGAGCCAATAAATATTTTGGTAATTTTGTAATTAAAAGAATTATAAAGCTTAGAGATGTGAAGATACTTAACTACTCAAAGAGGCATGCCACACGCCTTTTAACTTGAGCTTAAATTAAAAAAGAAACTTACTCACACTATATATAAACACAATTTTTTGGGCCTATTTTTCCCCTCTATTTTTTCGGGCCTAGGACAGTCGCCCCTGTTGCACCCCTAGGACCGGCCATGCTTTTGTATAAGGTTTTGTACTAAGTTAATTGTCTTATTGGAACATAATGTACTTTAAATAGTTAAAAATTATGTAGAAATGAACATAATTGGAAATGCACATTGAAATCAAACCCAGAGATGATATTTTCGATCTTAATGTTTCATTCGCTTATTATTCTTCGAAATTTTTGGTGTACGAAGAAATATCATATGGTGTGATTTTTTTTTGTCCAAACTTTCATTCCAATAAAACGAATACATAAATATTGATGCCAAAACAAAGTTCACAAATCAAATGCAATTTCTTTCTCTATTAACTTACCCGTGCATTTGATTTTTTTTTACAATCACCATTTTTTTAATAAACAAAGAGCTGGACAAAGTTTTGGCAGAGCTAGAATTAAGCACATAACAAGTGTAGAACTGTACAATATATGTCAAATACCTTGTGGTTTGATGATATTAGTGTGATACTCTCAAAAGGAGGTAACGAGTTTGATTTTATCTCAATAAAATGTTGATATTATCATTGAACAAATACTACTCCGTGTAATAGATTAGAGGTATATAAAAAGGACTGTAGGGTATATAACACTATTAACTACTATGTATATTATTATTCACGTATACAGACTAAAAATATACTATGGTGAGAGATATGGAGTCCGAGGTATCTCAGTGGATGATGGTGGCATTAGGACTGGGGTGCGGCGGTGAGTGAAGTGCCACCGGGTTTAAGGGCTTGCATTGGTAGCACTTGGCGAAAAGCCCAAAGGTGTCTACCTGTTTGATAAAATTGGAGATGCTAGCCCACCCTCCGAACCCAAATCCAACAATCAAAACCCAGCCCACAACAAAGATGTTCACTGCGTACATGGCCGTCCAGCTAGGCAGAAAGAATGGAGGCTTTTCCGCAGCATTCTGCACCCAAAATGCATCACAATTGTCATAATTCAGCTTATTATCATCCATGACTTGATAATACTTCACGAATTATTATCAATACAACTCCATTGAACAAAAATATGACCTTTTGGAATGCTATTAGTCTATTATTACAAGACACTATTTTTGGAAAAATTTCAGCAAGTAATAGATCTGTCTTTAATTTTCTTAGTTAAATTTCCACATATTCAATAAAGAAATTCCCACATCTTTATTCTCATTATAGGACTCACATGCTCTTAATAAGAAACTTTCACATAATCACATCACATCTCTTAATTCCCTTATGCACTTTGGCGGAAAAGAGCCAGTATTATTCTAAGGGGTTCACATGAACACTCAAATTTTTGAAAAACATGTAAGTGTAAATTTATTATAATTATTGATTACTCTTTAAATTTCTAGTTGTAAAATAAACATTGAACACCCAAGCTTTAAATTCTAAATCCGCCACGGGTGGCAGATCAATGCAGGCATTTCTGATAGGAGAGGCGGTAATGTAAAAAATACATACTACACCCTTCGTATCTATTTAGTTGTCCCAATTTTCTTTTTGGGACGTATCATATTAATTGTCTCATTTCCCTTTTTGGAAATAAACTCACTCAAAAAACAGTTACAGTACTGCTATAGTACCGGTATGTTACCAAAAACTTTTACTTTTCATAAAATCTACAGTAATTATCTTGAACTGCATAAAAAAGAAAATGGGTCAATTAATTAGATACGGAGGGAGTACTATATATAGATATATTAAAATGATGCAGTAATTATATTTAGAAGAAAAAATTGGGGACTGGTCCTCACTTGTCCCCCTTTGTGTCCGCCACTGGTACCGTACACGTTAATTGATCGAATGCAGTCGCAATGAAATTTTTAATGCTAGTCAATATGGCATGTTCCCGCAAGAATATACTTTTTTGACCAATATTCTCTTACCACTCAAAACGGTTTTAATTGAAATGAAATTTTACGATATGATCTAATCTGATCTAAGATTGAAATCATCCCATTAAAAACACATCCAATATGCAGACAAAATGCCGATGGCATTTATATTGAGAGGTAACATTATTATTTGATGATGATAATTTGGCCGATGACACAGAAACACTATTGTCCTGTTTTGATACTTTCACTATGTTTTAATTTTATGCATAGAAAAAAAATCTTTGTTTTGGATTGGTCTCAACCGCAGAATGAGCCACGAGCAAGGGCATCAGCTAGACAGCAGACTGGATCCTCCTAGTGTCGGCCATCGCCGGGCAGATTTAAATCGAATGTCAACGATGCAGTTCGGCCGGAGAGCTGCGGTCTTGGATGGTGCTTACGAGATGGGGACGGAAACTTCGTAGCGTGGATGGCAAAACCTTGGACTGTGATGGTTTCTTCTTTGGAAGCAGAGGTAATAGGAATCAGAGAGGCCCTTAGGTGAATCCAGGGAACTAGTTGGAAGGATATTGAGGTGGAGTCAAATGCTTCTCGAGCCATCTCAAAAATTCTGAAGGGTTCAAGACGTTCTTCTTTTGGTTTTGCGGCTGAAGAATTTAGAGATCTCGCGAGGAATTTTTCTAGTATATCATTCTCTTTTATTAGGCGGTCAGCGAACAAGTTAGTTCATATCATTGCTAAAACTGCTTGATCCATGTCTGATTCACATTCGTGGTTTTTTGCTCCCCCATGTTTCCTTTCATGTATCCTTGACAATGATTTGATTAATGGAAGTTAATTCTTTTTCTTTCAAAAAAATGCGAGCCATTCTCACATTTCCATACTCCTTCACTCTATACAATCTTAGAAATGGGTCTCTTTCGTTTTCATATCATTATAGAAAATTTTAATTTGGGGAAGACAATTTGGTTCGAGATAAGGATCTATTTCTTTTAAATATTCTCTATTCATCTTACTTTAGAGAGAAGAATTGGGGAAATATTTTCATAGCATGTAAACTAAGAACCTGTTTGGTGACCCTATGCTTCGTCTTATCAAACAAATAAGCAATATTTTTCATCAAACACGTAATTTTGATTTCGCGCACTGAATTGTATAATAATAGGGATACAGAAAGGTTGAAATTATTTTGTTGTCTGTATTGACTAAAATTACTGGAGATAATCATTTTAGTTTTTTTATTAATAAAATATATTTTAATAATTTTTTTCATAAATCAGCGGAATCAACCAATCCAACCATTTTGGGGAAATTTTAGCTCTAAATAATTCTCCATAAAGGTGAAATATTGAAGAAAACCTTTCTATGGGACCGGAGGAGATGTACTCATTTCATGATAAGGAGCATAAATGGAAGGCCAGCTCTTCCTAAAGGCAATGTGGGGTTTAATGCACTAAACACCTCTGTAATACAGAAATTCGGCGCATTAGCCCCTCTGTGATTTAAAAAATAAGTCAAATCTCCTTGTGTTTTGATTAATCGTGCGCAAAATCCCTTCTATTAACAAATTTAATTGTCAAATAAAAGAAAAATGATTAACATTTTTGTGAGGTTATCGTGCCTAGCGAGAGGTCTCGAGTTCGAAACCCGCCAGGCACATAAGGGTTTGAAACTCAATTGAGTGAGTTTCAGCCCTGATTACTCTAGACTCCCCCCAGCGCCCCTCCCCCAAACCCCCCGGAGTAGAAGAAAAAAGAAAGAAAAAAAAAGAGTGAATTAGACATATTTGCTTGCATATTCAATCAGAATATTACAAAAAGTGATTTTCAAATCATTAAAATTATTCATAAAGGGGGTTTTGTGCATGATTAATTAAAACACAAGGGAGTTTGACGCATTTTTTAAACCGCATGGATTAATGCGCCGAATTTCTATATCACGAGGAGGTTTGGTGCATTAAACCCAGGTTGGCAGGTAATGTGACACTGGCACTGTAGCAGATATGTACGGATGACCTACATGATGACGACGTGTTACGGAAAGGAAGGCACGTTAGATAAATACTCAGCATGGAGGTTTGCCAAATCAGCAAAATAAGAAGCTTCTAGTTACAACCGTTAGTCTGTTAGTAGTTAATAGATACGGTTAATACTTGTATTCGTTTCTAGAGGTTGTATATATAGAAAGCCTAGCAAATACAAATTGGCAGCTTGTTGATGAATTTCCCTATAATCTGTCTTGATCTCAATTCTTAATAAAGATGACTGTTCGAACTCTATTTTTTATTCCTTAGAATTCCTGCAGTTATTTGATATAATTCCTCGATTAATTCTTGGAATTATACCAATTGGTATCAGAGCTTCTAATCCAGAAAGATGCCAATATGCCATTAGTGATATTCCAAGCTTCCGCCATCTTCAACCTGGCGAAGAAACTTACAGTTGCAGCTTTATCGTTAATCATGGAAGACAAGGTTGCAACACTTGAACGCCAATTGGAGGAGCAAAAATTGAGCAACGAGCAAAAGTTATGAGAGACACACCAAAAATTAGACGCTCTTCTTCTCATGTTATAAAAACTTGATGAGGAAAAAGGAGCACCCTCTAATCACTAGATTCATGCTCAGTCTCACCCAGATGGTTACACGCCACACAATTATGGAGGCAATCAATTCAAAAATTTGGGATTCATTCCCAAAATAGAATTTCCAACCTTCTCTGGTAGTAACCCTAGAACATGGATTCAGAAATGTGCTAAATATTTTGAACTGTGCTAAGTTGAGCATAATCAAAAGGTGGATTTAGCTTCATTATACATGATTAATCGTGTTGAAGCTTGGTTTAACAGTTACATTTCTATCCGAAAAATTGTGAGCTGGGAGCAGTTTGTAATCGATGTATGTGCTAGATTTAATGAAGAACTGAGGAGTAGTGTGGTGGAAGAATTTAATAAGCTGCACCAAGTGAATAGTTTAGATGAATATTTGGACAAATCTGAGAATCTGAAGAGTCTCATGTTGCAGAGGAATGAATAGTTGTCTGATGAATTTTTCTTAGACAGCTTTAGTGGAGGTTTGAATCCTACTATCAAGCATTTTGTTAAGGCCTTCAAGCCTAGAAACCTATTGAGAGCCGTGGAATATGCTAGATTACAGGAGAGTAGCTTAAATGCCCTGAAAAATGCCAACAAATCTCAAATGGACAGATCTGCCTTCAAGAGTTATGTACCAAGTACTAGCTCAACTTACAGGCCCTCCTTCTCTCAAGCTCCTTCTAAGACAATTGGATTGCTTCCTAAACCTAACTCAGCATTCTCACAATACAAAGGAACCAATGGTAATAGAAGACAAGATCTGCAACCACCTGACATTGAGGAGAGAAGAAAACAGAATTTGTGCTTTCATTGTGATGATCAGGGACATAAATGTAAAGCTCAAATATACAAGATACAGATTCTTCTGCTAGAAGAAGAGATTTATGAGGAAGAAGATCATGAAGTAAGTGATTCGGGAAACAATAATGAAGACAATGGAGATAATAATGTAGGTGCTTGCATTCCAGAAAGTCAACCCATTATATCTTTAAATGCTCTCTCAGGATTTCACAACTATCAAACTATGAAGGTCACAGGAAAGGTGAAGAATAATGAGTTGCACATACTCATTGACTCCTGCAGCACCCACAAATCTCTTAACGAAAACACAGCAAAGAGATTGGGGTGTGGAATCAGGCAATCTTACCCTCTAGAGGTTTCAGTAGCAAATGGAGAGAAAATTGTCACTACAAAAACATGCCAGCAATTCAAATGGGAACTCTATGGGAACGAATTTGTTGTGAATACCGTGCTGGTACCCTTAGGAGGGTGTGATATGGTATTGGGCGTCCAATGGTTAGCTTCTTTGGGGCCTATCAAATGGGATTTTGACAAATTGGTTATGGAATTCCAGTAAAATGGAAGAAGAGTGGTGCTAAGAGGAAGTAAGAAGGGAATTTTGTACTAGCTCACTGGGAAAGAAGCTAACCGAGAGATGCAAAAAGAAGGAAGAATGAATGTAGGACAATTCTTTATGATCAAGATACAACCAGTAGTGGATGAAGGTTCTAAATTACGAGAAGAAATGAACAACATGAAGAATATTCATGCACCTATTAAGGAGGTGTAGTCAAGATATTCTGCAGTATTTGAGGAGCCAAAAACACTACCTCCCCACAGGAGTCATGATCATCAAATTCACCTCAAACCGGGCTCTACGCCAGTCAATGTTCGCCCTTATAGATATCCAGTAATCCAGAAATCTGCTATTGAAGAAATCACAAAAGAAATGCCGGAACATGGAATCATAAGATACAACCAGAGTCCCTATTCTTCGCCCATTGTGGTGATTAAAAGGAAAGATAACAACTGGAGATTCTGTGCGGATTACCGTGAGATGAACAAACAAACTATCAAAGACAAATTCCCCATACCTATTATAAATGAGTTGCTGGATGAATTACATGGATCCAAATACTTTTCCAAGATAGACTTGAGATCTAGATACTGGCAAATCAGAATGAGGGAGGAAGATATTGAAAAGACAACATTTAGAACCCATGATGTCTTTTGGCTTGACCAATGCTCCCTCCACCTTTCAAAGTCTTATGAATTTCATTTTTAAACCCTTTATGAGGAAATTCAATTTAGTCTTCTTTGACGACATTATGGTATATAGTCCTGATTTGGAGTCACACGTTGTACACCTGGAACAAACTCTAAAGGTTCTGCAGTACAATGTACTTTTTGCCAAAAGAAGCAAATGCACTTTTGGGGTTACAAGCATTGAGTATTTGGGACACATAATTTCTGGAAGAGGGGTGTCCACTGATCTAACCAAGATACAAGCTATGGTTGATTGGCCTAGTCCAAAAAAATATCAAAGAATTAAGGGGTTTTTTAGGACACAAGATATTACTGGAAGTTTATAAGGCATTATGGTATTATCAGTAAACCCCTCACTAATCTACTGAAGAAAAATGCATTTTCTTGGAGTGAGGAGGCAGAAGAAGCGTTTATGAAACTGAAGCAAGTTATGACTCAGGCTCTAGTCCTAGCTTTACCGAAATTCACCAAATCTTTTGTGATTGAAACGGATGCATCAAATGTGGGAATCAGACAGTCTTATCTAAGAATTATCATCCTATTGCTTTTATTAGCAAGGCCTTGTCTGAAAAGAATGGAAGCTTGTCCAGAGAAAGAGTTATTGGCTGTCATCCTAGGTGTAGAAAAATGGAGATCATACCTTATGGGTCAAAATTTTATCATCAAGACAGATCATTTCAGTCTTAAAGACCTGCTGGAGCAGAAGATTACTACCCCTTTCCAAAGTAAATGTGTTCCTAAACTAGCAGGAATGGATTATGAAATTCTATATTGGAAAGGGAAAGAGAATGTGGCAGTGGATGCTTTATCTAGAGTTCATGGCGCAGAAATTATGAATATGATACTAACAGAAGTTAGTTCTAATCTCTCGGAAAGGATAAAAAACATTTGGCAAGAGGAAGATAGCCAGTCCTTAATCAAAGAATTAGAAGAAGGACTGGTGCCCAATAGTAAGTTTTCCTTACAACAAGGAAAATTACTCAAGAAGGGTAAATTGGTAGTGGGCCATGATGATAATTTGAGACGATAACTTATTCATCTATTACATGATTTAGCAATTGGTGGACACTCCAGAGTACAAGCTACTTACAAAAGAACATGAGCTCTATTCTTTTGGAAGGGAAAGAAAAAGGATATCAAAAGAATAGTCCAAAAGTGTGTAATATGCCAGAAAAACAAATCCCTTCTTCAGGCTCCTGCTGGATTACTTCAACCCCTTCCTATTCCAGATGCTACTTGGGTTAACATTTCAATGGACTTTGTGGAAGGGCTTCCTAAATCACAGGGAAAGGGTACCATTTTAGTGGTAGTTGATAGATTGAGTAAGTATGCTCTTTTTCTATTGTTGTCTCATCCCTATAATGTCTGCACAGTGGCAAAGGTATACATGGACCAGGTGTACAGATTGCACTGTTTGCCAAAATCTTCCTCAGCAATTTTTGGCAAGAATTGTTCAAAAGATAACAAGTTGATCTCTTTCTATCAACATCATATCATCCCCAAACTGATGGACAGATGGAGATAGTGAACAAATGCATTGAGACCTACTTGAGATGCATGACTCGGGAAAATCCTAAAGACTAGGCTAATTGGATTCTTCTAGCCGAATGGTGGTGCAACACCAATTTTCATTAAGCTATTGGAAAAACTCCTTATGAAGTAGTGTATGGACAACCATGTAGCATTCATCTACCTTATGTCACTGGAGATAGTTCGGTAGAGGAAGCGGACAGAAGCTTGAAGGCCAGGGAAGAATGCATTAAAATGTTGAAGTTTCACATGAAGAGATCTCAAGATCGAATGAAGAACCAAGGTGATAAACACAGAACTGATAAGGAGTTCTTGGTTGGGGATTGGGTATATATCAAGTTGCAACCTTATAGAAAATGGTATGTGCCCTATCGTACTAATATGAACCTCAGCCCCAAGTTCTTTGGACCTTTTGAAGTGGTTAGCAGTAGGGGTGAGATTTTGGAACCGGGAACCATAGAACCGATTGGAACCGAACCGTTATAACCGGTTCAGTTTGGTTCCTACAAATAAGGTATTAGTTGTTAACGGTTCGGTTCCTAGATGTTGTTAATGGTTCTGTTCCTGGTTCCTATAAAAAATATGTGCATGAAACCATTAAAGAACTGTTATTAAAAATAATAGTATTATTAGTAGTAATAATAATAATATAATAACAATCATAACCACCACAACAATAATAATACAATACCTATTTAACTAACAATTCCAATTTTCCTTCAAAAAAACTAACAATTCTAATTTAATCAATGAAATATTGCACATGAGTTGATTTTTTTTACCTGGAGAACCCACGGAAGTGGGGAAAGCGCCGGGGAACACTTTCCAAATTTATTAAAATAATGAAATTACAAAACACAGTTCAACAAGGAAATACAAGAAAAAGCGCAAAGAGAAAGTTTATATAATACATTAAGCTCCTTTATACAAATCAAGTTTTGTTCCATCACATAAATTTTATAAATATAATAACCCAAATAAGTTGTAGTTGATCGGACATATTTTACTTTACTATTTTCGTAATAGTTCTAATTATTAGATTTATTATAAATCATGGTACTAGCAAGTAGAATGTAATAGTGTTTTTATATCTATACATGTGAACTCAATATATTTTTATGCTTTGAAAGACTTAAAGTAGACGTCCTTTACTTGCTACTATGATGATGACTTTTATGTTTTATTTATTACATGAAAAATTAAATCATCGTTTGTTCTATTAACTAGTTAAGTTTGAGTTTTGATGTTTGAGTTCAAATAAAATTTCAATACTCGTGTTTTGAATTTTTGACGTGTTTATGTTGTATGAAGTAAATTATGTGTTAATTGACTTAATTCTTCGATGAGAAAAAATTATCCTAGGAACCGGTAAAAACAAGGAATCGAACCGCTTAGTAATGATTCGGTTCCATAATGGTTCTTGATTTTTTAAATAGGAACCGAACCGATATCATTAGTTAATTTTTTTGTAACGGTTCCACTCATTTTGAGTAAGAACCGAACCGGTCTCAGCCCTAGTTAGCAGGATTGGGAAGGTGGCTTATAAACTGCTATTACTGGATCATGCTAAAATGCATCCCGTATTTCACATCTCTCAATTGAAAAAACACCACGGTAATGAAACTGTTGTGTACTGGTTGATTCAGTGGTCTAATGGGAATAAAGAAGATGCCACGTGGGAGCTACATGTGGATTTTATTAAAAGATATCCTGACTTTCCAGCAGTTCAATCACAAGCTTGAGGACAAGCTTAAGAGAAGAGGATGGGTTGTTACGGAAAGGAAGGCACGTTAGATAAATACTCAGCATGGAGGATTGCCAAATCAGCAAAATAATAAGCTTCTAGTTATAATCGTTAGTCTGTTAGTAGTTAATAGATACGGTTAATACTTGTATTCGTTTCTAGAGGTTGTATATATAGAAAGCCTAGCAAATACGAATTGGCCGCTTATTGATGAATTTCCCTGTAATCTGTCTTGATTCAGTTCTCAATAAAGATGACTGTTCGAACTCTATTCTTGATTCCTTAGAAGTTAGAATTCCTGGAACTATACCAAGACGTTTCGCACATATCCTCTTGTCTAGCTACCAACATATTCATATGATCATATCTACGATCATTGATGCCATAGCTAAATGTTACCTTACTTTATTATAAAAACATGAGATCTTATTTAAAATTCATATCATCAATGATCAATCTCTCAATTACAATGGTAATTGAATTGCCAATTTAGCTATTGGTATATACTTCGTCTATTGTTAACTACGCATGGTTTAACCCATTATAAAGTAATAAAACCTCACATATAAATAATATCGCAAGAATAATAGAGCTGAGCGAGGGACTATTTCACGAGATGAAAATGTCCCAAACAAAAATCTAACATCCACTAGATGTGAAAATCAATGCTAAGAAAAACTTGCAATATTAAAGCCTCTTATGGCCCGAGGTTAAAAAATAATCTTTTTCATCGTATTATCATTATCTCATGTTTTCTTGTGCTGTCTGTCACATTAAATTTTTACTCTATTCAAACTTTATTATTTTAATACCAATCACAACTTCATTCTTCCTAATAATCGTGACAATCTCTTTTGTCTCAATCTATACATAAATCAAATTATTGAGTGAAGAGTAATTACCTGTCGAGCCGAGGAGGTATGAAATGTGAGCATATGAGCCAGTGAGGGGATGATGTAGACCGTGAAACTAACAAGAAGGGCGCCAACCGCGGAGTTGATTGGGCCGAAGAAGGGGAAAATAATAGCCAAAAACCATATTGGTATCACCACAGGCAACCTTGCTACCGCCCTTAAGAAAATACTTCCTGTCCCGTGCATCCCAATCGTCTTCTCCCAAACGAAGTACAATGGCATTGATGCGAACCCGAATGTTATGAACTGCACATTTCCATTTCCAAACATATTAATCGATGATAAAGTTCAAAAATAAGACTAAATATGTATGTTTTCTCTCTCAAAATAAGACTTGTTTAGTCTTTTTAGAGCAATAAAAACTTCTCCTTCAAGTGCAATTGAATAAGTCATATTTCGATAAGAAAATAATAGTACTACGTATTTCTATTTGTGGGAATGTGCCTTAGGAAATTATCTACATCATGCTAATAGACTAAGATAATAGAGTAAACGAGAGACCTGGTGAATGAGCATTAGGATAACGGCAGTGTCGCGCCATCCAGATTTAGGGAGGAGGGAAAATGCGTTAGCGTGGTCGAGGAGTTGGTCGCCGAATGCCCAATAGACAGAGGTGGCTGAGGGAATGGTGAGTGTGAAGACATATAGTGTGGCATAGAAGTATATGTGTTTGAACTTCTTTGGCTTCCACATTGCATGCATTATTTCCCTGATTTTGCATTTGAGCAGTGTAAATTAGGAGATATCGTATTATATATTGCCATCATAGTATTAGTGTATAAGACTATTGCTATAGTGCACATTTTTGTGTGTGCACATTTATGTGTGTAACACAAACCATATCATCTTGAAACCATAGTCCTGGACTATTAGTCCATATCCACAATGTCAGTATTGTGCTGGTGGTCGTACTCTAAAATGACTATAGTTTCAAGACGATAATATTTGTACGTAGTATGAATTATGATACAAATGCATATAGCAAGGCATGATAAAGACAATAATTACTATATGAAGAGGTATTAGCTAGGCCTAAAATTTGTTAAATTTTTTGTGGGTCTAGTGCCACAAAGACATACACCATCTTATAGTGTGGATTTTCGCATTAGAGATAAAATGGCTGACGAAATCAAACAAGACTTGGAACATCTTAGAACCAGCCGGAACAGACTAGACCGGAACGGATTACATTGAATTAGGGTCTGTTTGCAACAGCTTCTGCTTTTAAAAAAGTGCTTTTTTTTTTAATGAAATGGGGAGAAGTGATTAAATAAAAGTTGATAGTGTTTGAGAAAAAAGTGATTTTGAAAAGTAAAAGTGGGTAGTGTTTGGTAAAATAAGTGCTTTTTGTGTAATAGAAAAAGTAAAAGCACTTTTGACGCGGAAGCCGAGAAAAATAAAAGTTGTAGTGTTTGGGAAAATAAGTGCTTTTTTAAAGCCAAAAGCTGAGAAGTGCTTTTTTAAAAGCAGTTGCAAACCAACCCTTATTCTGTTTGTGTCATACATAAAAAGGAGACCAAATTCGTTCAAATTAAATCAAATTAGTTGAAACCAAATTGAACTAGTCAATTCTCCTCCAAACAAACATGTCCTTTAAAGTTTTAGAGTAATTGGACTGTCTTTATTGTCTCTCCACCACCACAATAGGAAGGGGTGGTTGTTGATGGTGGCATTTTTAATAAATAAATGCGATGTTTAATTATTTGAAGATTATCGGTTTGTATTTCATTGTCAGTTCGAAGGTCAGTAAATAAACTTTTGGATAGGTCAATTATATAGTTCAATTTTTCAGATCACAGTTCACGTGTTACAAAATTTTTCCTAAAATCTAAGAAACGTAGGTGTTTCGCTTTAATTCTTTTACGTAGTACTACGCATTTTAATGTAGATTACTATCTCATAGGATTATTTTATAAACTTTCATCATTTATTTTAATTGAATTATTGAATTATTTGTCTAAATTTAAAAATTTTAAACTTTTAAAATACGTAGTAATATTTTTATAGTATAAATAGAATCGTGTATAGATATGTATAATCAATCAAAGTTTAATACCTGAAAAGTCAAACTTGACTCAATTAAAAGGAGAAGAGTATATTTATTCACTGTATTATATTCCCTCCATCTCTAAATGTTGTTCCATAGTATAAATAGCACAGAGATTAAGAAAGTAGAAATTGTGTGATGGAGAGTTATGCAGTGGAGAGAAAAATGTGTAAGAATTGTTGTGAATCACAATTTTTTTGCCAAAAAAAGAAAGTAATGTTTTTTTGGGATGAACGAAAAGAAAAGTTGAAACTTTTTTAAGTACATAGGGAGTAACACCTATGTGTGTATACATATATATGTATAATACCAAGAACTCAAACTCCATATTTTTGGAAATTGATAAATTAAAAAGTTATTAGTAAAAAGTCGAAATGAGAAAAAACACATTTTGATCTCTCCTCGTAATTGTATGATTGTGTCGGACTTTGTTGAATATGAAATCCCAATGAGTCCGGCCCGATCCGGAATCAGGTTCAATACTTCAATACTCTTTGGAACCAAACCATGTTTAAAAATTCAGTTGAAGTCTGGGACCGCCCATAATCCGTCCAAACATGTTATCTTGTCCCAATTTTTTTGCTTGAAAATTGGGGAAAATGTGTGTTAAAATTAAAGACTAATGATAGAAATATGAACTGGTTTTGAGAGCATATAAACTCATGGAGAAAAGGGAAAATACTTCGTGTCTTTTTATTATGCATCCGTAAGATGCTATATATAACACAATGCATTACAATGATAATGTGGGAGAATAATGCATGGGCCATGCAAAGCATGGTACCCACGTATACATGTCTAATGGTAGGAAACAGTACAAATGATGTGAGATAATATTATGATGAGTGTAATATTCTCAATACTCCCCCTCAAGGTGGCGTGTGAAGGTTCCGAACACCCAACTTGCTCCGGAGGAATTGAAAACGATCGGTGCCAAGTGCCTTAGTGAAAATATCAGCAATCTGGTGTGTTGTAGATATGCAACATGGTTGGATTTCACCGCTATTAACACGCTCGCGAACAAAGTAACAGTCCATTTCTACATGCTTAGTGCGTTCATGAAAGACGGGGTTAAGTGCAATATGTCGTGCCGCTTGATTATCACAAAAAAGAGGTGTAGGGCTACTTAGAGAAACCGTTAGGTCTTTAAGTAACCATCGTAGCCACAAAATTTCACTAACTGTAACAGCCATGGCACGATACTCTGCTTCGGCGGAAGATCGGGAAACAACAGACTGTTTCTTTGTTCTCCAAGAAATTGGGGAGCTGCCGAGAGTGAGAAAATACCCGGTACTAGAGCGACGGGTGTAAGCGCACCCCGCCCAATCAGCATCGCAATAACCTTTCAATGAGAAGTCATTATCTGCTGATAAAAAAATTCCTTGTCCCGGAGTTTGTTTTAAGTAGCGCAGAACACGTATAGCAGCATCAAAATGAGACTGGCGTGGTTGGCTGAGAAATTGGCTAAGCTGGCTAACAGAGAAGACAATGTCAGGACGAGTGACAGTCAGGTACAATAGGCGCCCAATCAGGCGGCGATATGAGGAAGCATCTACAAACGGACTATCATCATCAGGGCGAAGTTTCAAATTCTGTTCCATGGGAAATTGACTGGGGCGGGCGGCTAGGAGACCACTTTCTTCTAGGATGTCTAATGTATATTTGCGTTGACTGAGAACAAATCCTTCAGGAGAACGAGCCACCTCGATTCCAAGAAAATACTTCAATGTACCCAAATCTTTAATGCTGAATTGGTCATTCAAGTACCCCTTTATTCTGCCAATATGAGACGCATCATTTCCAGCGAGGATGACGTCATCAACGTATATGAGGGCAAATGTGTAGTTTTCACCTTGCTGGAAAATGAACAAGGAATGATCCGCCCGTGACTGACGAAATCCAACATTGAGAAGTGATTGAGTAAACTTGTGGTACCAATTACGAGATGCTTGGCGTAATCCGTAAAGGGATTTTTTTAATTTGCAAACACGAGTGTCACCGTTCTTAGTAAACCCTTGAGGGACACACATATAAACTTCTTCTGAGAGATCTCCATGGAGAAAAGCATTGTTGACATCCAATTGATGTACCTCCCAATTTCGTTTGGCTGCAACAGCTAACAAACATCGTACTGTGACGAGTTTAGCAACTGGGGCAAAGGTCTCGTGAAAATCAATTCCTTCGATTTGTGTGAAACCTTTGGCTACTAATCTTGCTTTGTAGCGTTCCACATCGCCGTTAGGTTTATATTTTATTTTATAAACCCATTTAGAGTCTACTAATTTCTTCCCCGGTGGCAACTGAACCAAGGTCCAAGTACCATTTTCTTCTAAAGCATGAATCTCCTTTTGCATAGCCTCTCGCCATTTTGGATCTAAGACGGCCTGTGAAAATCGTTTTGGCTCATCACGTGAAGTGATGGCCGTCAAAAATGCTTTATGTTTATTAGAAAACTTGTCATAGGCAATAAAATTAGAAATTGGATATACTGCTGAGTTGCCTTGATTTGTGATCTGTGAATAGTCCAAAGAGGGCGGCAGATCAATATCATATTCAGTGAGATGTTTAGGAAGTCGGCGAGCTCTATTGCCTCTCCTTATCTCATCTGTGGCTGCAATTTGTTCGATGACGTCATGTGGGTCATTATTCAAAGGTGGTTCCAGAATTTGTTCTTCGTGTATATAATTGTTAGGTTGCCAAGGATTTTGCAGCCGGTGCTCACAATCTGCATGTTCTAAAAGGTCCGTTCCATGTGTAATTGAACGATGCTGCTGCCTGGTGGGTAAGAGTGGACGGGAGCCTGGCCCACCCACTACGTCCTCGCCTTCTCTGCATGAATTATCTCTAAGACCAGGACTCGTAGTTCTGTCCATATTTGGAGGGGCCTGATGTCGGACGGATGAGAACCTGGCCCGTCATCTGCATCCTTATCCCTGCGTTTACTGTTTCGCGTACCTAACTCACCATGTGACGACCTGCAGACTGGAGCACAAGTACCATTTGAAAGGTGATTTCCTGGATGTTGCTGGGGGCCATGCGTGTACTCCTCTGCGGGAGGATAGCCGCAGATGCCCTCCAGACTGTCGACTGGCTCCAAATTTGGTGAATTTTCTGGCTGGTAGCTCGATCGACGAGGGATGTTCTCAATCTCCGACCGACTGGTGCGGTAATCTGCCGACGTATATGTACTGCTATGACCGATGATTCTTTGGCATACACGGTTTATTATATCCCCAAAATCAAGCCCTTCTTGATTTATCATTTTAAAAGGGAATTCCTTTTCAATAAAGGTCACATCTCTAGAGGTGTAGATTTTTTGTTTCAGCAAATCAAACACTTTGTATGCCTTTTGACCATAAGGGTATCCAAGAAATACACAAGGGCTCCCCCTCTCACTAAATTTATCTTTGCGTTTGTTGTCGTGTGCATACACCAAACACCCAAAAACGCGTAGATGTTTATAGTACGGTTCTTTCCCAAATAACATTTCATAAGGGCTTTTATTTAAAATAATGGGTGACGGCAGCCGGTTAATAATGTAAACTGCAGTAAGGATGCACTCTCCCCAAAAATCAATAGGTAATCCGGATTGAAAGCGTAGAGCCCTAGCAACCTCCAAGATATGTCTATGCTTACGCTCCACGACTCCATTTTGTTGGGGGGTATCTGTGCATGAAGTTTCCAAAATGATTCCACACCGTGTATAATATTCAGATAAAATATTGGTTTGAAATTCCATTCCATTATCTGAACGTATACGTTTAACTTTCCTCTCAAATTGATTTTCAACCATATTGCAAAAATGCATCAAATTTTGACATACTTCAGACTTGTTTTTCATAAGATATACCCAAACTCCCCTGGTAAAATCATCAACGATGGACAAGAAATATCGTGCCCCCGAAGTCGAGTCACACCTATAACTTCCCCATATGTCACAGTGTATTAATTCAAAACAACGAGTAGTCTTACTTGTACTCTTGGGGAAAGGCAGACGAGTTTGTTTAGCTCGTAAGCAGGGATCACAAAAGGTATCATTTTGTTGCACGTCCTTGAGAAATGGAATATGTTGTAACTTTCCATTTGAAGCATGTCCGAGACGCTGGTGCCACAAAGCAGAATCGAGAGTAGCTGTCATTGCCATCCCTTCACTTCTAGGTAATTCTAGGTAGTAGAGACCATTATGAAATTCACCTTTACCGATTAGCTTTTGGGAGGATAAATCCTGAAATATACAGAAATCTGAGAAAAACGTGAGTGTACAGTTTAAGTCATTTGTGAGGCGGCTAGCGGAGAGCAAGTTGCATTGAAATTGTGGGACGTAAAGAACGCGACGAAGGTAGAACCCGTTGGACAGATAGAGGCTACCGATGGCGGAAATCGGAACTGATTCGCCATTTGGAATTTTTACTGTTGTTTCAGATAAGTGAGTAGAATAGTTGAAAAGATTTGCACTATCACAAGTGATATGTTCACTTGCACCGGAATCAATTATCCAAGTGCGAATGTGAGACGACATATCCAATCCCTCACGTTGGTATGAGCAAAAATAAAGAGAGATGAGCTTTCAAAAAACAATTAACCAATATTGTGACTTCCAGGTTTTGGCTCTGATACCATGTTAAAATTAAAGACTAATGATAGAAATATGAACTGGTTTTGAGAGCATATAAACTCATGGAGAAAAGGGAAAATACTTCGTGTCTTTTTATTATGCATCCGTAAGATGCTATATATAACACAATGCATTACAATGATAATGTGGGAGAATAATGCATGGGCCATGCAAAGCATGGTACCCACGTATACATGTCTAATGGTAGGAAACAGTACAAATGATGTGAGATAATATTATGATGAGTGTAATATTCTCAATAATGTGAAAAATTGAATGGAACCGGGTCCGATTCGGGACCGGGACCAAACCGCCCGACTACCCAGAACCGATCAAGACCCGGATTTAACCGGGTCAGACCGGAGCTTCCCCTACCAACGATCGGGACCGCCTCCGGGATGGGGACCGGGCTGGGACAGGGTCAACCGTCCACCCCTTCCTTCCACATTTCGTTATACTATCAATATTGAAGCTTTTGATGAACTTTTATACTTCCAAAGTCTTAGAACACCTTAAATTTCATTTTTAATGTACCGATTCGGCTTAATATATACTCCGTGAATCGGAATACGCCCCTACGAAGATGCAAGTAAAAAAACGTACACAGTAACTGCGTGACCCCCAAAGGTGTACAGAATGTTGGTGGCTCCGGTAAAATACAACATAAGCTTTGTTGGAGCAGAGTGTTTAACACCTTCAACCTTGTTAATTAACACAGTAACAAAGTTAATTAATAGCTAGAATGAAGTGTTTTGAAATAGTATTATTATTATTTAATTAATAATATTACTTGTCCGTGAGCAATAGCGGCAATGGTGAGATACCAAGCTGTATAGGTGGTCATTCCGAGGCCAAAAAAGGACCAAATCCGGAAGTTGTGGAAAGAAGGAATAAAAACTGTGGTTGCGCAGCATGCTCCAAATATGTATGTCCATGTCCTCTTGTCCAATGCATCATTTATGTAGTAAATGTTGCTGTCAATAATAGTTATCCACACTTACAACGTTTCAATTATTAATTTAAAAGATTGAGTATTATGCATTAATGGTATCTCAACATTTTGGTGTTTGAAATTTGTGAAATGAAGCAACTACATACAGAGCCTGTGTGGTAACCATGATTTTAGGATTATCAGGTTTATCAGCCAGTTTTTCATCAAACACGTAACTTTTGATGTTTAATAATTAGCGAAATGGTAAGAATAAAGTTACTTTTCTGGCTGTATTGGCTGAAGTTAGTGTAGAAGACCATTTTAGTTATTTTTTCATGTAATTTTTTTCTTTATTTTATTAATAAAATATATTTTAAATATTTTTTTCCACAAATCAACAGGATTAGCCAATATAGCCATTTAATAAATTTCAGCAAAATCAATCAATACATCCCATTTTGGATTACCGAACGGGCTCACGGTAATTACTTTTGAATGGTTATTTGACATTATCACTCAAAAAAATTGAATGGTATTTTGCCGCGTAGAAACTTAAAACAATTTTACTAATGTGCTTCACCAAGAAAAGTTGTACAAAAAATGCATCATTATCACTGACTAAAATATCATTTGTGCATTTAAGTGCACCCAATTAGATCAAGTACTACCTCCGTCCCATAATGGTTGTCCACTTTCAATTTGGCACGATTATTAATAAAGTGGTTGAAAAGTAAAAGTTGTGGTTGAGATTTGAGTAGAATAAAGTGAATTGATAAGAACCACATATTTGATCCAAAAAGGAAACAAGACATTCATTTTGGGACCACCCAAAAAAGGAGAGTAGGACAACCAAAATGGGACGGATGGAGTGGTTACTTGTGCGATTTCACAATTAGACAAACGGAGAGATAGCGGTCCGCTAGTCCATACCTAGCGCATGCTATGAGTTGAATCACAGAACCAAACAGAAGAAAGGTGCAGTTGAAGATTAGCCCCACCGCTTTCCAGTAGCGTCCAAGTAACCCATCTAGAACTTCAAACCACTACAGTAAATGGCACCAAGTTTAGGCTTGACCAAGACACGAAGATATGGGTATTTATGGATATTATTGTTCGTATTTTAATAGAAATATTCTGGTGAAGTTATTGTCCGTAGCCAGACAGGTAACTTTTGACTTGCGTAATAATAAAATATAAGATTAAAATTATTTTTCTTGTTGAATTGTACAAGTGTTGTCGAAATATTATGGTGAAAAAAGCGAAGTTATTTCACTGGGCTAAATTTCAAAGTACAAATTTCAGAGCACATTTGATAACTGTTATTGTTATTTTATGAGCAAACATTTTCATTAGGCATATAATTTTTTAGCTTACGTAATGAATTACATAATAACAAAAATATAAAATTAAAATTACTTTGACTGAATTGCAACAACATACTCTAAAAGACATTGCATATATTTTTTCCAATGGGAAAGCAGATAACTTGGATTATTTGTTGATATTAATGAATACTTGATGACTTCTTGAATCTTTCTCATTGAACAAAGTTATTTTTTATTTCTTGTCATGTTTTTACTTGTATATATTACCTTTACTCTTTTTCAGTGGCAATAACTTACCGTGTACGATTCTCAACATACGATTACGACCATAATTATGTTCAATTAGAGTTTAATCCATCAAAATTTGTTATGCTATAAGTATAAAAATAATTTAGCCCATGCGATTTCAAAAATGTGTCACACTCTCTTATTTTATATTTAATCATGCACATGATACTCTGTAAAACAAATTTAGACATGAGCATCATGTGTCTTAGAAGCCATTTCACCAAACACGTAACTTTTGCTTTCGCGTGCTGAATTGTGTAATAAGTAGAAAAAGTAAGGTTATAGTTACTTTTATGACTGTATTGGTTGAAATTACTGTAGATGACCATTTTAGCTATTTTTACATATAATTTTTTCTTTATTTTATTAATAAAATATATTTCAAAAATATTTTTTTCTTGAATCAGCAGAATCAGCCAATGCAGCCATTTCAGTCAGAACTTCATAAATTTCAGCAGTAAATTATGAAATTAAATTCTTTCATAATTTCAGCAGTATAATTTTTCGTGCCACCAAACGATTATAATTTTTGAAATGCAAGTAAATTTATCAACTTCTCTAAATTGTATAAAAATAGTAATCTTTTTTCATTTATTCTGCAATGAAATTGTACTTTGATGGGGTTATGTACGTCATTAATAATACCACATCATAGTTTGAGGCAATTATAAGTCAAACATTTCAAAAATTGAAGTCAACTAACACTTCATCACTAATGATCAATGGCTGACCTGAATGACATGGTTGTTGAAGGTGACACCTTCTTTCTCCCTCCTGCTTATATACTCAACGTAGAGGACGCTGATAAGGTACGCCGTCCAGCTGCCCACCACGCCGTAGAAGATTTGGAACACCACGCCCGACGCGATTCCCAGCTGGGAAAACGAATATGGCAGTGTCAAAAGCACTTGTGCTACCTGACATTAAAGAAACATGCCATCAATTTAATCAATGCTTGTAATTGTACACGCGCGGAGCTAGGACGCTAGACCGGATTGGGCCAGTACAAATAGTTATCTTGAAAAAATTTACACGCAATTTTTACAATAAATATATAGACATTTTTAAAATTCGATAGTGGACTGGAGCCTAGGTTGGCTCCTAGCTACGCCTCGAGAAACTCTTTCGAAACTCTCAAAACGATTGTTTTTTCGAGTAAAAGATGATGTTCTCGTTTCTCGTTTTCCGTGCTAACATAGGTGAAGGAGTTGTGTGGTATGGTGGGGGTGCAAGTACTTGATTGGAAGCGCAGCTGAACCAAGCATCCCAAGCAGAGCCGCCATGCCAGAGAAAGCTCTTCACACTGAAACCTTCATGATCAGACTTCTCTTCTCCTTCAATGGTGTTTGGGGCGGCTATTATTGGCTCTTCTGCTTGCTTTTGAGCACACATATTATTATTCTAGAAGAAGAAAGAAGAAGCAACTAGCTAGCTTGGCTTTTTTCTGATCCAAATATATACTCTGTAATCTGAGTATATGACCCCAGATCCAAAACAACTGCCCAGGAATTAAAATATCCTGCAAAAAAAGAAGGGGGTAAAAATTAAAATATAATATAATAAATGAAAAGGAATTAAATAAAGCAGTGCCCACCTCAGCTCATTCCTGAGATCTGTGACTGATTGAACACTCTGTTTCGACCTCTTCGTCTTCTTGTCTTGGTAGAGAATCAATCTGGGTGTGATGAAGACAAGATATATCGCATATCTGGGTATATAGAATTAAAAGATTTTTTCCCAGGATTTAAGGGAAAGTAAAAGAGAAAGCATCCTAGGATTTTCTTAAAGGAGACTTTGAAACTGTAATTTGAATAGAACAGCTCAGCTTAGATGCGGAATTTGACAATAACTTATACGGAGTAGTATCCATATGTGCGGATGATGAAAACGGTTAGCAACACAAGAGGGGGGTGAATTGTGTGTGTGGAACCGTGGCAGTTTTTCGCCGAGTTCTAGTGTGGGATAAAGGGAATTGCGAAATAATAAAGTGCACAAGAATTTAACGAGGAAAAATCCCTTGGCTCAAAGGGATTAAAAAACCTCGACCTCCCTCGGAGGAATTTTAAACAACTTCACTAAACAAGCCTTTGAAAGAGTTACAAGAGTGATTCTCCTAATCTACCCTTGAGCCTCCCCAACTCTATCCTCTCTAGGAAGAGTTATGCATCTCTACCTTGCGGGTAGAGAGCCTCTCAGCTTTATCACAAAGCTCTCACACACACTTAACCCGAGGCAGCTACTCTAGCCAATTAAGCCTCAATATTCCAAGTACAATATGAAAGGGAAAAGAAAACTCTATCTAGAACTCCGTGTGGGCAGTTTCTGGCGCCTTGAACTTGGTATTTCTCTTGAGTGTTTCTCTTGATATTTTCTCGGTCAAGCACACTCTATTTGCCTTTGGCTGCTTCGTTTATATAGGCTGTCTTGGCAGACCGTTTTAGCATCCTTCCTTGAATAGTTGATCTTCTAATTTTGGGACTTGCCTTGATATTTTGAATTGCTTTCCTTTCATAATATTTCCCATATCCGAGCTCAATATATAAGGCATTAAAATATCCAACATTTAATATTCATATATTCAAGGTAGCAACATAGTCACGAATTGCCCATTCAAATCACGTGTAAGTATTTTGAATTAATTATCAAAGAGAGCAAGCTTTGGTCAACTTTCAAAAAGGTAGGAAATCATTCCATATGAGAAAGGATGCAACGGCCAGAACATATATTTCTAACAAGTCATGCACTAAAAATATATTCTTGCCTTATTATAATAATCTTGATTAAGAAAGTGGTCTTTTTGAATTGGGCTCACATAAAGAAAGTATATTAGCTAGTAACCAAATAAATCATGCACCCAAATACGAAAGATAATTAAGTAGGTGCAAATATATTAATTCAAGCCAACTATCTTTATATTACAAGCAAGTCAAGATTACTTTCCATAAAGTAAAAAGCACAATTACTTTTTATAAAGTTAAAAGCACAATTACTTAAGTGGGTGTCAATTTGGTCATGCATGAAAAGCTATATTACGTACACACATATTAATCCAAGAGTGCACCAATTAAATCACAAATTATATCACGTAAGCACATGAACTAGTTTTGTCCTTTGTCGCTTAAGGAACTGTGAGCGGTTCTGTCCGCCGTTCCACCTGTATGGTTAGTCATCAACAAAACAACATATTCAACAAATTCCCCCTTTTTGTTGATGACAAACATTAGGTGCCATCATAATGGTGTCTCTGCAGAAAAGAGACTTTTTTTTTTTTTTTTTTTGCACCTGATTTTTCCCCCTTTTGTCATTCAACAAAAGGAATAATAATAAAAATGCCCAAATCAAATATCAATTTTTCCCCCTCAGATGAGGCCGGAAGGTCCCGCATGCTTTCTTCGCAACTAGTAAAAGAGATTAGTTCCAGTGATTCCCATTATTTAGGAAATAAGAAGTAGAACAAATAATTTAGGAATTAATTAGACCGAGTTCCAGTCTAATTAGTTCAAACCTTTCTCTTCCCAGAGGCTTGGTAAAGATGTCGGCAATTTGCTTGTCGGTGTTGCAATACTCGAGCCGGACTAGTCCCTTTTCCACACAATCTCTCAGAAAGTGATGTCGTATATGAATATGTTTTGTCCGAGAATGCATGACTGGATCCTTTGAGATGCTAATAGCACTTGTATTATCACACATAATTGGTGTGCATTTTAGATCAACTCCGTAGTCGCTTAACTGTTGCATGATCCACAGTGATTGAGAGCAGCATGATGCAGCAGCTACGTACTCAGCCTCCGCTGTTGAGAGTGCTACTGAGTTTTGTTTCTTAGAACTCCATGAAACTAGACATGGACCCAGGAAATGAGCAGTTCCAGACGTACTTTTTCTATGTAATAAATCACCTGCAAAGTCAGAATCTGAATATGCAATTAGTTCAAAATACTCATTACGAGGATACCATAGGCATAAATCAGCAGTTCCTTTGAGATATTTGAGGATCCTTTTCACAGCCTTGAGGTGAGATTCTTTGGGATTGGCCTGGAACCGCGCACATAGACCTACGCTGAAAACAATGTCAGGTCTACTGGCAGTGAGGTACAGTAGGGACCCAATCATTCCTCGATACATCTTTTGGTCTATGCTCTTTCCTTGTTCATCCGCATCCAGCCTATCATTTGTTCCCATAGGTGTAGTCATGGTTTTGCCTTCACTCATTCCGTACTTCTTTAGGAGTTCCTTGAGGTACTTTTGTTGAGATATTTGAGTTCCTTTGCTTGATTGCTTGATTTGTAGGCCAAGGAAGAAATTAAGTTCCCCCATCATACTCATCTCAAATTCGGAACTCATAAGATTAGAGAATTCATCACAAAGAGAATCGTTAGTAGCACAAAAAATAATATCATCAACATAAACTTGAACAACCAATAGGGCTTGATCTTTTATTTTTAGAAAAAGAGTTTTATCTATTTTTCCTCTTTCAAAACCATTTTCCAAAAGAAATTTAGATAGGCGTTCATACCAAGCACGAGGTGCTTGTTTGAGGCCATAAAGTGCTTTATCTAATTTGAAAACATGATTAGGAAAATCTTGATTTTCAAAGCCCGGTGGTTGTTCTACATATACCTCTTCCTTTAGATATCCATTCAAGAAGGCCGTCTTGACATCCATTTGGTGGAGGGTGAAACCCATATGAGCCGCAAATGCTATGAGCATTCGGATTGCTTCTAGTCTTGCCACCGGTGCAAATGTTTCGTTGAAATCTATTCCTTCTTGTTGGTTATAGCCTTTGACAACCAGCCTAGCTTTGTTTCTTGTAATTTGGCCATGTTCATCAAGCTTGTTCTTGAATACCCACTTGAGACCTATCACGGTCTTGTTCTTGGGTCTCGGTTCTAGATGCCACACCTTATTTCTTTCAAACTGATTTAGTTCTTCCTGCATGGCTAGAACCCAGTCAGTGTCGGAGAGAGCCACTTCATGGTTCTCCGGTTCTATAAGAGATAAATAAGCAGAGAAAGCACAAAAGTTTTTAAGTTAAGATCTAGTTGTTACTCCCTGATTTAGATCGGTGAGGAGATTATCCAGCGGATGTGATCTATGAAGCTTCCAACCCCTAGGAGCGTTGGGTTGGTCCACCAAGTTGTTGAGAGTATCTGAAACTGGTTCTACCGGTTCTACAGGTCCAGTGTCAGTGTTCTGTCCAGGTTCTTCTTCAGTTTCAGATTGTTCATTTTCATTTGTTAGAGGTGGTTCACCAGTTTGATTGTCAGTTTCTTCATCTCCTTGAGATTGTGATTTCTTGCGAGTGATCCCTAGCTCACCATCATCGGCTTGGATTGATTTTGGGGCAAGTGTTTCATCAAAGATTACATGAATGCTTTCCTCCACACATTGTGTGCGTTTGTTTAGAACTTTGTAGGCCTTGCTATGTGGGGAATATCCTAGAAAGATTGCCTCGTCACTTCTAGCATCAAACTTGCCGATGTTGTCTTTCCCATTATTGTGGACGAAACATTTGCACCCAAAAGTTCTTAGATGACTTATGTTGGGCTTCCTCCCCTTGAGCAGTTCGTAGGGTGTTTTCCCTAGGAGTGGACGTATCATGGCTCGATTAATGATGTAGCATGCTGTGTTTAGAGCCTCTGCCCAAAAACTCCTAGCTAGACCGCTGGAAATAAGCATAGTTCTAGTCATGTCCTCCAGAGTTCTATTCTTCCGTTCTACCACTCCGTTCTGTTGTGGAGTTCTAGGTGCGGAAAAGTTGTGGTCTATCCCTCGTTCTTTGCAGAAGGCATCGAAGAGAGAATTGTCAAACTCAGTTCCATGATCCGATCGGATCTTGATTAGTCGTAGACCTGTTTGATGCTCAATTTTCCTTACAAAAATAGCAAACTCATTAAAAGTATCTTTCTTGCTAGCAAGAAAGATAGTCCATGTAAATCTTGAAAAGTCATCAACAATAACCAGAACATATTCTTTGTTTCCTCGGCTACGGACTGACATTGGACCACACAAATCCATGTGTATTAGTTCTATGGGCTTGCTTGTGCTCACCAAATTCTTTGTTTTAAAGGATGATCAAGATTGTTTTCCGGTGGCACAAGCCGAGCAAACATGGTCAATTGAAAATTTCATATTGGGCAGTCCAATAACTAAATCATTATTTTTAAGTTTATTTATTAATGAAAAACTAGCGTGTCCAAGCCTTTTATGCCATAGCAAAGGATCGTTATCAATAACGCTCAAACAGGTCATACTAATATTAGGCAATGAATCAAGATCTACTTTATATGTATTTTCGAGCCTCTTGCCTTCAAGTATAACTTGTTGTGATTCGTTATTAACAATGCGACAAACGTTATGATCAAAAACAACACTATTACCTCGATCGCAAAATTGAGAAATACTTAGTAAATTAAATTTCAAACCCTTGACTAAAAATACATTATCGATAGCATGGCTAGGTGACTTTCCGACTTTGCCCACGGCTATGATCTCTCCTTTGCCGTTGTCTCCAAATGTCACCTTTCCACCGCTAAATGGCCGTAGTGAGAGGAATAAAGATTTGTCTCCTGTCATGTGCTTAGAACAACCACTGTCAAGGAACCAGTGATTGTTCTCCCTCACTCGGCGCTGTTCCAGGATTAAGGGTTAGCGCGTGGAACCCAGACTTGCTTGGGTTCCATTTTGTAATTGTTTGAGGAATATCTAACATGATCATAACATCTTTCTAAAGTCTTTTGCCGAGAGTGACATTGATACCGTAGATGACCGATTTTGCCACAATGCATGCAAACCCGGTTGTCATAAGTATCAACGTATTTAGGTTTCCATTTACCATAAAAGCCTCTTGTTCTTTTATGAAAAGTTCGGTTAGGCGTTTGTCCATAACCGTTTTTGTGCCTCTGAACAAGTCTATCGAACCAGTTTGGTCCAGTTCTAGGTGGCTGTTGATATGGTCTAGAACTGGGTTGTCCTCGGGTTCTATTATCCTTAAAGGGTTGGTTCTGAAAATTTGATTTTTGATTAGCTCGAATATCCTTTGGAACATATCCGAGACCTGCAGTCTCGTTTACTTTCTTATTGTGCTGAGAGGGACCAGTTCCAGAATGATGTCTAGACCTGGTTTTGTTCGTTGCACTATATGATTGATATTCCGGTCTATTTTTAAAATCAGTGCACTCGGCAACAAGACGATGAAGATGATCAATTAAACAACCAACACTCGGTATTTTTGAGAGAAGCTTTTCATCATGATCAACTTGTTTGTTCATACTATCGAGCTTAAGAGAACAAATAATTTGATCTTGTTCTAGAACCACTTCACTGTACTTAAGCCTTTCATCTATTAACTCTCCCACTTTTGTTTCAAGCCTTATTTTGGCTCTCGTGGGTTCCTCGAGTTTAGACTCAAGCTCAGTGACACGTGATTTAAGATGATCGTTTTCGGAAAGGCTTTCATTAAGCTCAATAGTCAATCTTTTAAAAATCTTCCGAGTTTTGGTTTTGGATAGAGAGTCAAACTTGGATAGAAAATTTTCAAAGTTTACCTCAAAGCTTTCTTGGTCGGATTCCTCGTCGGAGAGTGCCATAAGACATAGACCCGCATGGTTTGAGTTCTTATCACTCTCTTCTCCTTCGTCATCGGAAGAGTCTCCCCATGCTGCCATCATGGCCCTTTTTAGATCTCTCTTGAACCCTTTGTCTTTGCTGAACCTCCGGTTGGAACTGGACTTGTTCTTGTCGCAGTTCCGGTCATTTTTCTTTTGTGGGCAGTCTTTAGCCCTGTGCTCAAAGGAACTACAAACAAAACAGCCTTGGTTATTAAAAGATTGAGTGTCCTTTTTACCTTGTTTGATACGGTTGTTCTTGAACTTTCGGTACATCCTCCCAAATTGTTTTGCAAACATGCTCATCTCATCATCCGATTCACTCTCGGATTCCTCTTCTTCTTCTCGAGCCTTTAGAGCTATTCCTCTTTCTCGTCTAGCACTCTCGGCATCTTGTTCTTCTTGAAGACCTAGTTCATATGTCAAGAGTGATCCAGTCAAGTCTTCAAGCGTCATGGTGGATAGATCCTTTGCTTCTTCAATAGCCGTGGTCTTAGGCTTCCACACTTGGGGCAGGCTTCTCAAAATCTTTCTCACTTGATCTTCCACGGTAATTTCTCTTCCAAGGGCTGAAAGCTCATTGATAATGTTAGTAAAGCGTGTAATCATATCCTTAATTGACTCTTTTGGCTTCATTACGAATAATTCGTAATTACGCATGAATATGTCAATCTTAGATTTTTTTACACGTGAGGTTCCCTCATGAGTGACCTCGAGCAAATCCCACATTTGTTTTGCAGTCTTGCATCCTAGAACCCGATTGTGTTCGGCAGGACCAAGACCGCAAATTAGATATTTAAGGGCTTGGGCATTATGCTCGAGTTTCTCATAATCTTCAGAAGTATATTCAACTTTAGGTTTAGGAACAACATTACCTTCGGCGTTTCTCTTTGTGATGGCATTATCACCACTTTCAATTACATTCCAAACCTGGTAGTTATCGGCCTTGATAAAGTTTTCCATCCGACTCTTCCAAAATTGATAGTATTTGCCATTGAACAATGGTGGTCGTTGAGTCGAGTACCCTTCTTCCAATCGGTCAACCGTGTTCATTTTGCCGGATCTCTTCCCAAGGTATTAGCCTCTATGTGGTGAAGACCGGCTCTGATACCAATTGATGAAAACGGTTAGCAACACAAGAGGGGGGGTGAATTGTGTGTGTGTGGAACCGTGGCAGTTTTTCGCCGAGTTCTAGTGTGGGATAAAGGGAATTGCGAAATAGTAAAGTGCACAAGAATTTAACGAGGAAAAATCCCTTGGCTCAAAGGGATTAAAAAACCTCGACCTCCCTCGGAGGAATTTTAAACAACTTCACTAAACAAGCCTTTGAAAGAGTTACAAGAGTGATTCTCCTAATCTACCCTTGAGCCTCCCCAACTCTATCCTCTCTAGGAAGAGTTATGCATCTCTACCTTGCGGGTAGAGAGCCTCTCAGCTTTATCACAAAGCTCTCACACACACTTAACCCGAGGCAGCTACTCTAGCCAATTAAGCCTCAATATTCCAAGTACAATATGAAAGGGAAAAGAAAACTCTATCTAGAACTCCGTGTGGGCAGTTTCTGGCGCCTTGAACTTGGTATTTCTCTTGAGTGTTTCTCTTGATATTTTCTCGGTCAAGCACACCCTATTTGCCTTTGGCTGCTTCGTTTATATAGGCTGTCTTGGCAGACCGTTTTAGCATCCTTCCTTGAATAGTTGATCTTCTAATTTTGGGACTTGCCTTGATATTTTGAATTGCTTTCCTTTCATAATATTTCCCATATCCGAGCTCAATATATAAGGCATTAAAATATCCAACATTTAATATTCATATATTCAAGGTAGCAACATAGTCACGAATTGCCCATTCAAATCACGTGTAAGTATTTTGAATTAATTATCAAAGAGAGCAAGCTTTGGTCAACTTTCAAAAAGGTAGGAAATCATTCCATATGAGAAAGGATGCAACGGCCAGAACATATATTTCTAACAAGTCATGCACTAAAAATATATTCTTGCCTTATTATAATAATCTTGATTAAGAAAGTGGTCTTTTTGAATTGGGCTCACATAAAGAAAGTATATTAGCTAGTAACCAAATAAATCATGCACCCAAATACGAAAGATAATTAAGTAGGTGCAAATATATTAATTCAAGCCAACTATCTTTATATTACAAGCAAGTCAAGATTACTTTCCATAAAGTAAAAAGCACAATTACTTTTTATAAAGTTAAAAGCACAATTACTTAAGTGGGTGTCAATTTGGTCATGCATGAAAAGCTATATTACGTACACACATATTAATCCAAGAGTGCACCAATTAAATCACAAATTATATCACGTAAGCACATGAACTAGTTTTGTCCTTTGTCGCTTAAGGAACTGTGAGCGGTTCTGTCCGCCGTTCCACCTGTATGGTTAGTCATCAACAAAACAACATATTCAACAAGAGAAATTGAAAAAGACATACCCGCACTGCTAGCCGGTCGAATGAGCTGAGGTGGGCATTGGTCCAATGGTTGGAAATTTGGATCAATAGATTAAGGTTCGAATCTCGCAGCGACCGGGTGAGGCTTACATAAACTGAAATAAGACTGGACCTCGGGTGCGTACGAGTGTATGGCCTACTGGCACTTTGCTAACTAAATCACTATGACTTACTCCTTCACCATCCTATCGGATCGGTGTGGGACTCCTGGGGTGGGAGATTCCACCTTTTGGATTAAGGAATTGAAAAGACATTTTAAAGGCAAGCTGCATAAAGACAAAGTGAGATAGCAAGCTTCTCTGCTCTTCTCTGTAGCAGAGAAAGACTCGGAAAAGGGAAAATGAGATTGTAGTCTTCGGTGTTCTTGGTACATGTTACTCTCGCTACAGGGAAAAGATGTGTTTTTCATCTCTAAAGATTCAATTTTACATACGTACACATTACACAACATAAATATGGAGTAGGAGCGTAGGGCCATATGAGGCATTTTGATTCCGTTTATGATGAGAATAGCTCATATCAAATCAAACCATACTAGACCAGTTTTCGGGTCCATATTCGAACCGCGTTTTACCGGCTCGGCTAGGATTTTCCGGTTTCTTACCATTTCTGGGTTTTTAATTAATCAAACCGAGTTTTAGTCTGGGTCACCGGGTTCCGGGTCAACCCAGTCGAGTCAGGACGGTTTTTTAAACATAGCCCAGAAGCTTTCCCTACAAGTAAATAAGATGCTACAAATTAGCCTAAATTTCACGTAGTCATTGAGATAATTATTACTAATCTCTAAATTTCAAAGTGCCTGTTTGGTAACATTGAAAATGGGTGAATCTGCCTATTCTCCTGAAATTGATGAGTTTTTGGTTGAAGCGACTGAATTGATTGAATTAAGAAAAAATTATTATATGAAAATAGTTAAAACAGTTTTATACAGTAACTTCAATCAATTTAGTCAAAAAGTAACATCAAGCTCACTTTTTTGATAATTATACAATCTAGCACGTGAAATTGAATGCTACGTATTCAGTGAAAAATGACTGATAAACCGAAAAAGAGAACCACCAATTGATTTTTGTCATAGTAATTTATGTTCATTTTTTATACTTAATTGATTATGACATTATACTCATAGTAATTTATCTTTGTTTCGAAGAAATTAATATCACTATAATATCTAACTGATTCAGGTATGTTGAAGTATTTTTAGAGATATGACCATAGAATATGGTGACTTTAATATATGAGGATTTCCTTAAGATGTCATTGAAATAAAACTCGTGACTATAAATATACTTTTATATACAGGCATTGCGATGTGGAATGAGTTTTGAAGAGCATCAAGATAGCAATAAAACAGAGGCATGTTATTCTTGGAAAAGAGGGATGAGGGGAGAGATCGACGGTTTTTCTCTGCGTCGTGGAGAGGAATCGGCCCTCATCCGATGGAGGCCTCGGCGAGTTAAGGACAATTTTGGCTACTATGAAGGTTGGAGGGCTTCGGGACATCATCGCTAGGGAAATTTTCGCAAAGATCGCGTTTTGGTTGCTGACTCTGTAGATTGCCGACTCAGAGATTCGAACGGAAATTCCAGCCGCGACAGAGCTACAGGCTAAAGTTCGGCGACCTCAGAAGGCAACCCATCGACGTTATTGAAGGGCCTCCGTACAACTTTCAGTCCGGTGCACATGCCAATGCTTGTCATCATTTTTGGATTCCACAAACTGGGGACACAACCTTTCTCGAGATGCAATCAAAATGGGTTTGAGGTTACCATTGAAAGCAAACTTTTTCAATTTACTATTATTGATTGCAATCTTATGCGAATTTCTGAAAAATAAAGAACTATATCACATCTGCTATAGCTCTTTGGTGCACAGGCTAAAGCTCTTTGGTTGAAGAATTCTTTGCTAAAAGTTTTACCAGGGAATTTCAGTACTAGGTGGGAATTTAATAAATCTATTAGCATGCTCTACGATGCAAACTATTTTGGAGGCTTTATTCACATATTTGAGTATGGACATGGTAATTTGTTTATACCTGAATGGCGGAAAGGAGTATGGTTCAATAATTTTCTAACAGGATTGACAAAATCAATTGTTTTGGTGGAAGAAATCGTTGCTAAACGAACAATGGAAACTGAACGTGCTATTGGGGATAACTTTCAGCTAAAGCGGGTAATAACTTAGAGTTGGAGATTCTGACCTTGGATCGGGCTTTTCCTCATTCTGGTGAGACTACATTTTCCATTTCAAGTGTCTTAATTCAAGCTGATATTGAGCAATTAGATTCTTTAGATCATGCACTTGATTTGGTTCTCGTTGAGGATGTTCAGTGCTCTGTGCAAAATCATGAATCCGATCTCAAATTTGAAACGGATAATACTTCGAGGGGGGCTGCTGTGATTCGGGAATTTTCACAAGGGACTTTAACATTTGAAACCAAGGAGGAGATGGAAGTCCTTGAAACTGCTCCTCTTCAAGTTTCTTATTCGCCTCATTCTGAACTATTAGTGGATGGATTAGTTTCTCCTACGCCTGTAGTTTTGGAACCTAATGATTTGGGTGGTAACAATCTTGAAGTTACGCCTGTTCAATTGACACTTTATGATCGTAAGCTGCTTGACCGTGTTGCTGACATTGAATGGGACTCAGCCACTTCCTAAGGCTAAAAAATTGGCTGACAAATAGGGTCATTCTCCTTAGTCCTTACACAATTAGCTTTTGGATAATTTGGGGGCTTCATCTCTTCTTTGGGCAAGTCAGTCCATTTCCACGGGGAGCTTAGCGATTTATCATAGGGATTTGCTGGGTTAATCACTCTTTGCACTTTTGTTTCTTTCTTCATTTTTTTGTACTCTTTTTATTTACTTTTAATAAAATTCTGCTTATTGAAAAAAAAACATTGCGATGTGTGGAATTTGAACATGATTAGAGCATGTCCTACTCAAAAAAAGTGAACAGTACGCGTGGTGTGAGGGAGATAAATATATTAAAAAGAATTGCTAAATTTAATTTAATATTTCAATATTATCAAACATATTAAATTTAATGATAGTCTAGACTCTAGAATGCCGTGGTATACGAAGTCTACCTGACCAAAAGTTGCCTGAAAATTCAAAAAAGTAAATCAGAAAGGGTTAAAAAACTACAGAACAAAATAATTAAGTTTAACAAAAAAAATCAATGAAATATATATTCCCGATGTAATTCGTAGTATTTTTAAAGTAACAAGTAAGGTGTGATTACACGGAATTAGGGGTGCAAACGAGCCGAGCCGAGCCCGAGCATGGGTATGCTTGAGCTTGAGCTTGATAAGAATTCATGAGCTCGAGCTCGATCTCGAGCTTGGACGAGTTAAATAATTCGAGTTCGATCTCGAGCCGAGCTCGGCTCGAGCTTCATTCGAGCTTGATTCGAGCTCAGGTCAAGTTTTGCTAATTAATTTTTGTAGGTTTGAACTCGAATAAGATACTCGAACTCAAGTTAAAAATATTACTCCCCCCGTCCCCTTTTAAAATTCCCGTTTTACCATATTGAGACGTCTCTATTTAATTGTCCCATACCCTATTTGGTAAACTTTGTGTGGCTCAAAATCATTCTTACTTTATCAATTAATATCAACCACAGAAACTCACTTTTCTTCAAACCCGTGTCACCATCTCCCGTCCCGTTTAAAAGGGGACGGAGGGAGTATATGTGTACTAATTCATTCTCATTTTTAGTTTATCTCTAATTTACTAACATTTGTATTCTTTATTTTACTATCAATAAATATTAAGAGTACATAATAGTAATACTACACACATGTTATTATTTTTGAAATTATTACTATCATAATATACTCTATGATAAATATTAAAAATGGAATAGTCTTAAATTAGAATATATATTTCAAAAAAGTATATATATAATTATTACATATATATTTATTATATATAAAATATGACACAAAAGCTCGCGAACCGGCTCGCGAGCCACGAACCTAAAATAAATAGGCTTGAATAGAGCTTGTTAACTATTCGAGTCGAGCCGAACTCGAGTCGAGCTTAATATGACCGAACTCGAGTCGAGCTTTTTCCGAGCGATCCACAAGCAGCTCGCGAGCAGCTTGGCTCATTTACACCCCTACACGGAAACAATGACGAATTTTATCGATTTAGGATCTGAAAAATGATGAGCTATCAATCTGAGATTTGGAAGATAAAATATTTTTGTGTAAGGCCTCAATGATAAAAAAACAAAAAAAGAGGAAAAATTGATAGTAATAATCTCAACTATTGTCGGTCCGCTCATAATAATCCCAACTATCGATTTAATCAGAATAATCCCAACTTTAGAGACCTTCCGCCAATAATGGTCCGAAGTGAACGACTATAAATAAAATTCTATAGTTTCTAATGTGGAAGAGAAGAGATATAACAAGTAATCTCTACATATAATCTCAACTTTTAACTTTTACGCTTAAACTACACTTGTTAAAGCAGGTTATATCTGGTCATTGGCCACTATTGGCAAACGGTCCATATAGTTGGGATTATACAAAAATAGTCAATATTGGCAACCGGCAATAGTTGAGATTATTGTTTTTATTTTTCCTAAAAAAAAACTATCGATCTATAGGCCATCTTTGGCCCGGGTTTGTATTAAGATTGATATCTCTAAAGACTACTTAGACCTGCACAAAAGCGGGTTCGGGCCGGGCTTTTCATAAGTTTTCTGCCCATCGTGTGTGGGCGGGCCCGGCCCGGCCCGCAAAAACGGGCCTAACCCCATGTCCATACCCGCCCGTAAGAGCAGGCCGGGTAGTCCACCGGGCCGCCGGGCCCGGGAAAACTTTAATTTTTTCAAAATTACCTAATTTATTTAATACTTTATAAATAATATTACAACATTTAAAAAATTGCTAATACACTTATAATGTATATAGGCCTTTCATCACATACACAAAAAATATTTACACAAAAATAATAATGACAAACTATATCTAAAATTTAAAATTCATGCACAAAGTATTATGGTTAAGTACAAAAATAGATATTATATTGGTTGGACTATTTGTTAAGAACTAAAAACTTAAATTTAAACATAATAAACTATAAATATGTATACGGATAAATTAGTAAATATAAAAATATACATGTGTACATGTAAATAAATACATAAATTAGTATATATAAAAATATATATGTATATATACTAAATGTAGCGGGCCGGGCTTATCGGCCCGAACGGGCCTACACCCTAACCCAAGCCCGCCCATATGTTGTTGCGGGCCGGGGCCGGGCCGGGCCGGTGGGTAAATATATATGCCCAAGCCCGCTAATTTGTGCGGGCGGGTTGGGCGGGCCGGGCGGGCCAGCCCGGTTTTGTACAGGTGTTGCCACAAAAAATCTGGATTGATAATGATAAGTCTAGCTTTTTTCAATCGGTCTCGATATGAAAACCCCCATTTTTTTGTTCCAAATGCTCCCGTTTTGGGCATGATGTTAAAAATTGGTCCTATACTCCTATTGCTCGAAAAAAAATGATTTGTACACCTTGGGGATCTCCATTCAACTTGGCTAAGCCCATAATGACTTTAGGCTTTGGGGCCTGATCAAATTGATATAAGTTATGTGAGAAATGATCCTGTCCAGCACGTTTTTGTCCGAACGCCGTCCGAACATGGCCATTTGGGGCAATTTTTTGAGCATGTTCCTCATCAAGTCTAGTTTGTTCATACCAAATTTCAGCTCAAAACTCGACCGGGAAGGCATTCAAATCATTTTTTGAAGTTGACTACGTTTTTTATATGTATATTTTGACGCAGTCAACTTCAACAAATTATTTGAATGCCTTCCCGATCGAATTTTGAGCTGAAATTTGGTATGGACAAACTAGACTTGATGAGGAACATGCTCAAAAAATTTCATAAAACACTTCCACCGGGAAGGGCCCCAAATGGGGATGTTCGGACGGTGCTCGGACCAGGAATGTTCGGACCTGAACATTGATGAGGTTATGTATTGTTGAATCACCTAAAGTTATTACAATCTCTGTCATTGATGAGGTTCCTAATGCTGCTGCTGTTTCTGATATGACTAAGTTACCTACTGTTGAGTTGCCTAATATTGCCACCCCTGATATTATTGAGTTATGTAATGCTACTGATGTTTATGGTATTGCTATTTTTGGTGTTGCTGATGTTTCTAATGAAGGTGAATGAGTTAAAATCGATAGTGCAAACAAATTAACTCAAGGCAAGGATGACATTTTGGTTCTGCTACCCTTGTTAATAATGCTCCAGCATTATTGGCTATCCTTATTGGGAATGCATGCACCCATTGATAATGAGCTCTATGATGTGTCCTGGACATTGCTTTTGATAACTCTGTGCAGGCTCAGACTAAAAACAACCTGTAACAGTTTTCATTATCATTCTAGTCGTCTCCAAATAGAATAAGCAGGCGAGGAAAAAAAAAGATGACACTCCATCCCTGAGGACCCCAACACCGACCGAACAGTTAGATCGGAGAATGTAAATTTAATCACAAGCTGACAAATAAAGAGTGGGTCTCTGGCCCTGGTACTTGCAAAGACCCTAGCATTTTTAGCATATATAGTAACCTCTCATCGCAGTTGTCGGGATTCGAACCCGAGAATTATCCTTGTAGCACTCTCTATCTACCAGTTGAGTTACGCCCACCGGTAGCTCAACACCTTGAGAAAAAACTTTTTTTATGAAGTTGAATGATGATCAAATCCAATGATCACGAGGAGTCAGGCAAAGTCACCCCAGGATGACGAAGACTACTACTAACTCTACCCACTAGAGTCAAACTTCGAATTTTTTCAAAAGCACATTATCATACCCGCACGATCTAAGAAATCATATTCGGAAGCAAGGGACTTTCCTCCATATCTTCAACGGTCAATAAAATTTCATCTCAAATTATTCCGGACAATTGCCATTCATTCGGGAATAGCAACAAAATTTTAAATTTTGCTTCTCTTTGTACTATTTCTTTAATTTTTGTCTTGAATTTTGGAGGAACTCTCTCCACATCTCTACACTTGGAGAATTCATTTTTTTAATAAATTAGGAAAGTGTTTCTAGATAAAACAAGTTTTCCTTTTAAAGTAAATAAATATTTCAATTAAAAAAGTATAAAAATTAGAAATGAAATTAATAAAAATATAAAAAAATTCCAAACCTATGAATTTAGGTTTCAATCTTCTAATCTCTATACCGACACATTTCATCGTACGCCATCTCCAACAATCACCAAATTCTGCATCAAAATAGGGGAATTGTCATTTTTTGTTCCAAAACTTACACCAAATCCTACACGGCTACACCATTTCACTAAAATGGTGGAGGGGTTGAATTTTAAAGCCATATTTGGCGCAGAGATGGGATGCGCCATCTTCCCTTTTTATTATTTTTTTCTTTTGGCAAAAGTGATCCAAACTTTTGGTTATTATAGTTTTGACCCATTTTTAGAATAACAAATTTAAATTGTAAATTTGATATACCCGAGCAAAAAAAATTAAATAACAAAACATTATAAATAAAGTTTCAAATGGAAAACACATAATAACAGAATACAAATAATACTTAAGAAAATAACATAATTAAAATTACAATTCATAAAACCATTAAAATTAAAAAT